ACTATAATAATAATCAAACGTTTTTTCGAAAAAAGTACAAAATTCATCATTTTATTTTCAACTAGCTGCAAGGACCCGCTTCACTGGGCAAGAAGTAACGATAGTGAAGATTAAGATAATTACATTATAGTCAATCTTACCCGTTTTCACAGAATGCAAGAATTATGTCCCCCGTTTCCAGACTAATTAGAGAATTTTTACGTTTAGTCAAACGAACTATTTTCAATTTGGTCAATTTTCTGGAACGTTTGCAATCGTTCTATAATCGAACCAATTCGAATTTAAAACGGTTCGAACATTTTTTAAATCGAAATAGAAAATCTTCGAAGTCAACCACTTTAAGCCCCCATATCTCCCGCACCCTTATAGCTATCGAGACGCAACCGCAAACGCAAAAAACCGCCTGTAAATCTTGCATGCTGCTTTATATTAACACTTCCTTTGTTACTCAACACTTCCATTGTTGACATTTTCATTGTTAACACTTCCACTGTTAACACTTCCATTGTTAACACTTCCACTGTTAACACTTCTATTGTTGACACTTCCATTGTTACACATCTTCGAAGTCAACCACTTTCAACCCCATATCTCCCACACCCTTATAGCTATCCAGACGCAACCACCATAGTGCACAAATGGAGACTTGGGGCTACTACCACATACAAACACCATTCATGTGTGATGTGTAGTTTTGGCTAAAAAGTGAAATATAGGGATACACACGTCCATTTATTTATATATATATATAGATATAGATTTACTTGCGTTTTTACAATAATTTATCATTTCTGAAATCAATTTGTATGAATAAGTTTTTGTGTGTGTGTGTGTGTGTGTGTGTGTTTTTATTGAATAAATAAAAACAGCACATTATTTTGCTATCTTAATTACATTGTTCTTCATCAGAATCACTACATATATTGTATACAAATTACATAGCCTTTATGTGTTGTAATTTATTCCATGTAGCTGCTAGGATATGAGGGATCTGAATTCAAATCCGACCTTTTAGTTTCGACAATAATTATTTTATAGTTTACATAAGTGAGTTAAGCCGGAAAAATTCCTCAATTTTCATCCTCCCTCGCTGATCTCACTGCGTCACTGATGCTAATCTGTTGTACGCTTCTTACAAAAATACCAGCGTAGTTTTTCTCGGATTTTCTTGCATTATGAAATCAATAAATTGGGCTCTGCGTGGAAATATATTCAGTCATTAAATATTTTTATGCAAATAAATGTAATTGCAATTCAGACAGTTTCTAAAAAAGAAATCCATACAAACAATTATTTTCAATTTTACTCTAAAAGATAACAGAAGACACTTAAAAATAATTGCATATACTGTAGTAATATTTGTATGCATAATCTTAGTTGAGAAGTTTTGTAGTGACAACTGCAAATTTATAATTTAATTTAATTACTTGATCAATAAGCATAACACTTCCTATTTTAATCAGTTTTAGGAACTTAGCTTTACTTTTGAAATGTTTTCTTGTTTTAATTTGTGAATAAATATATTGAAAATGTTTACCCAATTTCTTTGTTATATTTCACAATAAAACATTGATTTGTCATGTTTTTTACAGTTTATTACATACGATGTCACGCTTATATTGTCAAACATTGATAACTTTATTTAACTACATAAAATTATCATAAAATAAGTGATAAAGTAATTTACATCTTTAAATGAATTTAATAGTTTTACCCTTGAAATTTAAATAGTTGAAGAGTTTCGATATAAATGGATATTTTAATTCTACAAGCTACTTCGTGTAGTTAATGACTATTGTATTTAACAACAATAGAAATTTTTTATTGCCTTTTCACTGTTAAAGTGTAGTCTCATCTGTGGTGAAGAACAGATGAACTGATGCAGTTTCTAAACAATTCAAATATACAACTAAAATGATAGAATTATTGTAATATTTTTCTTAAAAAACATCATATATTTATCACATCTATCCAATCTATTTGAAGAGTCCATGCATATCGGTGCAGATTCGCTCCAACTAACTCGGTGTGCCGTGAAGCCATTCTAAGTGAGCAGCAAGATGAATAAAAACATTAAAGCGACAAAATTTCATTCGACCAGCTTTCACTGATGTTCACTTTCGCCATTAATGATTAAAAAAAATTAGTCTATTATATTTGAGTTTTATGGTTCACTTCACATCCACCGCCTCTGGGAAAAATTTCCTATTCATGCGAAAGACCTGATAAGAATGGTTTATTCTTGCTTGATACGGTTGTTATGGTACAGTACAGATGTGTCATTTAACATTCCGACCCATCGGGACCACGATCGACTTCAATTCGAGCTTTAATCTTAAGTTAATATCGACATAACAAAAATATAGATTGTCCCTAAAATTACTACAACATAGCATATGATTATTCCAGACAGCTAGAGAGATCTTGGCATTTATATTTTTACTCAAAATAACTAATGATTCAAGATTAAATTTAAAAAAAAATAATTCCAAACTATCTTTTATTCAGAAATGTTTTATATTCTTGTTTTATTTTCTATTTAATAATAGAATTGTTATTCAATTGATGTAAACATCAATTGCATAACTATTTTCCTTGTTATTTATATACTTTTTCTCTTGTTTTAATGAAGATTAAAGATAGACTAACCTTTTTCAAAACATTCCATTGGTTTGATGTTAATAGATAATTGATATAGAATTATTTATTATTAAAAATTCTAGCTAATTCAATTTTAATCAGTTATATTTACTCTGATAACATTCTCATACTTATCCAAGAAAACCAACTCAGATGGTTCAGATGTATGCAACACATTCAACCTCTAGATTCCTATTATTGGTATTAAATAGTAGGACAGAGGCAGTTTATTAAACTAAAACTCAGGAACGTAATTAAACCAATATTAGACAGAGGATAACAGATGTTATGGCAAGCCAAGAAGCTGGTTGCAATCCTGGATGGTTCCCTCAGCTACAGTAGTATGTTAGAAGTTGTCAGAGGTAGAAGGAAATGAAGATACTTCTTTCATTAGGGACTCAACCCATCAGAAAATGGTTAGGCACTTGAGGAAAATGTTACAAGAGCGTGTTTATATTTTCATAATCTTTCATTCTCTGCATCATAATTACAAGTTATACAGTACTTAATAAGATTATTATTAATTAAAAATATATACAAAACTTATTATAATTATTAACTGTTTACAGTTTTAACCGAATAATAATAGGTAAGAAAAAGAAAAATATATCCAGACAAGGCCGATAACCTAATATGATTGAAACAGAATTGTCAGATAAGCTTATATTGATCGTAAAGTATTGATATTTTAAATATTCTAGTGTCAAAGCATGCAAAAACGTAGCTATCGATTACCTCGATACTTTTTATCTTATAATATTTTATCATTTTAACAACGGCTACATTAAATTTAATTTAGAAAATTAATAAAATTATTCATTTATCTTGTATTAGAATCAGAGAAGGCAATCTTAAGAAAATGCTGTGGTATTTTCTTAAGATTGTTAATATTGTACTTTAAAAACATTGTATGTATTTTGTGTAGCTTTTATTTTGAATCTGTTAAAGGATTTAAATTTATAAGATATGTTTTATTTATCATGAAGATAATCATTTTTGGAAATTATTTTTAAAATTTTTCTTTTTTGTATTGGAATAACAAGAATTTTTTTCTTATATTAAACAAACGTTGAGATGTGCTGGGCCGATCCAAGAGTTTTTGGCGCCCCTAAATTTTTGTGCCCTACGTGACTGCCTAGTGTGCCTATAACTCGGACCAGCCTTGGAGATATGTGTAATTTGTTAAGCTATGTAATGTTTATTTTAAATTATTTCTTAATATCATAAAGAAATAACATTAAAATGCTGATGCAGGTCGTGAATATTTGGGTTATTATGTCAATGTGATGTATGTCAATGTTTATTTTAATTAATGATTCAGTCGGATAATTTCAGTGCATGGGTCGAGATGTCATTCCTTTATTCTTCATCTATTCTGGCTGACCACATTGTAGATCAAATCTGTCTGGAACAGGGAATTGTTGATGGTCATGTGGTTTTAACCTGGTTGAAAATCAATTAACTCATTCATAAATTCTTTTTATCCAACAATTAAATTGTAATGATACTGTGTAGCATCGCAATGTTATATTGTGATTCTCGGAGCATGTCTAATTGGTCACTCCTGTTATAGATTTTTGGATAACAAAATACTCATTTACTGATTGATGAATTCAAGACCGAAACTTTCTAGAAATAATCAAGTCTCATTCATTGACTCAAAAAGTTTCTTTTTGAGAATTCGAATGGAATATTGCTTTCATACTCCATCATGTATATGTGTTTCTTTGCGATGACAAGAAAAGGTATTACTAATCGGCTTTGGGTGATTTATGACAAGGGATTTATGATAAAAGCGCGAATTTGATTCATAATGAATTATTTTTCTTTCTTTCCTTCTGGCAATTCGATAACCCTATGAAACATTAAATGGAATTACATCACAATTTTTCAATTTACTTGTGTCTTCAAATTGCATTGGCCGTAATTATGACTTAGATTTATATTGAATTTTAATATTTAGCATTTCAAAATGAATAAAATGAGATAGATGATAGCTAATAAATTGAATATAGAATTTAAAATTAATTAATTTGACAGTATTTGCAACTTTTATTTAACTGGTAAACAACTGTACTCTAGGGAGAAGGGCGAACTCGGAAGTAACTAACGAGTTGCAGGTGTACTAACCTCAACAAGAGCCACAAGTTGTCGTACTCACAGGTGTAAACACGGCCTCTTTAATTTGTTACATAGCAAATCTTTTTACTAGGCCAATCATGATTCGGCTAAGCCCACAATGAGGGCCCATCCGGCCTTTAAATTTTGTTGGAAATATTTTCATAAGTTTATTGATCTCATATTTTATATACATTATATGAATGTCAACTATATATTTATGTTATATGCATATTTTTCAGGATCCGTCCACAGATCTCGAGAGAGATCATTGATATGTGCCATGTCTGCACTTCGGTTACACCACGAGAGCCACAGGTGTGGTTGGGAAAAGATAAAGCCTTTACTTACGACAATGTATTTGATATGCCATCCAATCAAGAAGATGTTTACGATACTTGTGTTAAACCGTTAGTGGAAGGGTAAGTTGATATTTATTATATTATTATTTATTACAATTAAAAAATCATTTAAATGTCAGCTGAAATTATTCAAAGCTTAAGAGTTCGTCACCAATCAATAAAATATTGATTATGAGAATATTCAAGGGAATGCTGTAAATTGAAAATTGACGCAAAAGCAAGTTGCCGTTTTGGGAGTTTTTACCTCCAAATTTAAGGGTTTTTTTCTTATCTAGAGGTAAATTTGGAGATGAGTTAAATTTAGAGGTTATAGTTCTACTATTATTTAGGTTGTTTACTCATTTTTTAAAATTCTTAATGTTTAAAACTTCTATATTTAGAGTTGCTGTTTTTTTATTTAAAGTCTACCTCCAAAAGGAGGTAAGACTTTATATAAAAAAACAGCAACACTGCATGAAAATTTGAAGAGGGGAATTTGTTTTCTTCATATTGAACAAATAAAAAATAAATTTTCATTTTATGTATTTGGTATTCGTGATTTGTAAACTTATAAGAATAATATTTAGATTAATCATCAGCTGTCAAATCATTAATGATCTTTTTTAAATAATTATTTCCTCTTAATTATCACCAAGGCAATTATTAAATAAATTATTAGGTTTAATATTGTTAATTTAACCTTTAGAATAGTCAGGTTTTAGAAATCTGTTATTATTTGGAATGCTGCCAGATTATAAAACAATTTTTTAAACTGAATAATAATTAATCATCATGATTTTTTAATTTGATTGTAATTTTTAAATTAAAATAAAAATTCATTACAATGTAAACTAATTAATTTTTTTTGTTTTAAATAGCCATTTTATTGTCAAAAAATTTAATACCTAAGATTAAATTTTAATAGGTTCTTTAATAAAATATATAAATAAATCTTCTTGTATAAAAAAAATTCAATAAAGTTATGCATAAAAATAATTGTAATGTAGCTGGAAAAATATTCAAAGCTAGATTTTTAAATATTTTTAATCTCTGATACTTTTTTTTAAAGTTTTAAAGATGAAAAATCTTAACAATATCTCGAGCTTTTTAAATTTTAAAGCGAGAGATAATATGTTCTAAATTTGTTATATAAAGTAACATTTTTATAAATTTTTAATAACTGCGTTGCATTATATTTTAATGTAAATTATAGAATAAATAAATGAAAGAATTACGCAGATATGTAAAATATTTGCAAACTTTTAAAGAGAAAATGTTTTATAGAGTAGTTATAATTTTTTAATTATTGAAAACGATTTAATATATGCAGTATAAAATGTTATCCACACCCATATAACTTAAAAATTAATATTTCATTTTATGCAGTTATTCTAATTTATTATCTCTTACATATGTATTATAATTTTATTTTATATATAATGAATGATTAACCTATATATATATTTTTTTTAATTTTATAGAAATATCATTCCAAGTTGGATAAAAAAAAATTAATTAAAAGCAAAATACATCTGGCTGTTTTAAATTAAAAAAAAATATTTATTTTCAGAACTTCATTTATTTCTTCATACCTTTTAAGTGTATTAAATTTAAAAATGTATTGGTTTCTTAATTTTTATAAATGAAAACAATTATTTGCTTTAATAAAATAAAACTTTTTAATTGATATATTTAGAAATTATTTTCTTATTATGAATCATAATGAGTTTACAATGTATATAAGAGTATACGAGTTTACGATTTAAGGTTTTGTCGGGATATATTTTGCAATTATTTCTAATAATTTTAACGATTTAACAACAGAATATTCTGTTAATATCCAATATAAATAATTATTATAAATTCATTTATTAATTTCTATTTGTATTCAATATTTATTAACTATTTTTTACAGTCTATAGTTAGATATACTAACTCCACTGTTAAACTACAGACTTTGTCTAGATTTTCTGTTCATAAAAGGCCTATATGTTCATATAAGTTTACCTAAAGATAACATTTTTGATTGATACAATCAAGAATTGTTTTTCAAGAAAAAAACTTATGAAAAACTCTTTCAAAAAATGTTTTCGGGTTACATGAGTCAACTAGGCAAAGAACAGATGTCCATAATCCAGTTGCATTTCTGTATGTGATGAAGAAAAATGAAACAGAATGAAGGGATGTTTTATGCCCATTTTATCACAACAAATATTGGAAGATTTATTAATATATATTACAATAAACACATAAGGAAAATAAATTCTGATGGGAACAAATTAAAACAAAGAGTAAAAAAAGAGGAGAAAAAAATAAAGTAAATACAGTAATATCAAACAAACTGAAACAGAACTTAATGCCACCTACTAAGATGTCTACATGAATTATTGTCACCTTTCTCCTTATATAATAGGTTCCATTCTCTTTTCTTCCATATTATCTTCCATCCAGATAACCATGCAGGTGGAAGAGAATCTTCCCATCTCTCAAATTAAGTATAATCTTTTGTCAGCCAATCACAAAAGTTTGTAGGCTTCATGTAAATTTTAGGTCCTCTCAAGTATACTTTTTCTCCCTAAAATTTCTGTAGTATAAAGAGACAAAGACATTACCTTAACAAAAGGTTTTATTCGTGTCTGAAACGCATGACTGTTACAAATTCAAATGCAGCGAGAAACAGTGCTGCCAGTCCAAGAGACTAACTACTGTGGGGAGAACTGTTGCCACACTGTGACACTACTACATTCACCCCCACTTACTTTACATAATATTGTGGGGGCCGAGGAGGGGGAAAAATTTTAACAAATTCTCGCAATGAACGATAATATGCGATATATATCGTCATCGTCTCCCTTGCCGTTTGGATTGCCGAGCGGTAACAATCAACGACATGTGGAAGCAGTTGAGCCAGAGATAGATGCTTCGTTTACAAACAACACAACCGTTTATTAAACACAAAAGAAGCTTACAAGATTTCCGCGATCTTGGAAGTTCTGCGGCCTCTGGGTCTTCCTCTCCTTTCCAAGATAGTCCCATTTTGAAGTAGTGTCCCTTGTTCGCGAATGAACCACTTCATCACGTCTCGATGACTCCGGAACAATGCGGTCAACTTCCGTTGATGGAAAGATGTCGATCCGAGGTCGGGAGATGGAGACGAAGATGGGTGCGAGACACACACACAACAACAGATCCGTCACTTGGAACTTTTGGGAGAAGAAGCCATTGCATTCTTGAATTTCCGGGGTTTTATCTGTTTTCTCTCAGATTTCCCTTTCCAATTGGTTTCTCCTCGTCACCTGATGACAATTCGAAACCTTTCGGGGCGCGGGAGAGGTCAAAATCAAAGTTTAATTCAATCTCCAACCGGAAATGGTCAACGGACTTACATTCCTCTATTGTTTAAAAGTTAGCGTCGCGTTTTCATAAAATAAAAATCTATTTCTAACTACTATATTATTTTCTTTAAAACAATTATTTTAACGCGAATTTTAGTGAGGGTTCGGACCTGTCCAGAGCCTCACAATATAGTCCTTCAAATAACTGGGCTGACAGCACTGCCTTGCAGGACAAGGCAACCCAATTACTTCTGTTGGAGATGAGAAAATATCTTTTTCTTTGACTTGGGAGGGATACAAATCACTCTCGCAAGATGGAGGAGGCATTGCCTGAACATCAGAGCTAGCTTGATCAGGAATCTGGGCCGAAACATTAGGGAAGGCCATGCCATCTTTTGAAGATTCAGGCAATGTGCCTTAGGGACACTGTCGATGTCCACCCATCGGGGTACTGAACACGAGGCTACTTAGGATTAACCTCCAATAACTGGACTTCCTCTACTAGAGGGGCATATTTATTGGTGCGGTTATGTGAACGTAGTAGGACAGCTCCCAGTGATAGCAACCAAGTGGGAAGGCCAATACCCATTCCTGCCTTTCGGGGGTGTCTGAAAAATCTTTCATGAGGTGTAGAATTTGTAGCAGTGCATAGGAGAGATTGAACAGCATGTAATGCATTGCCTAGTACATCTTCCCACTGATCAATACTTTGATTAGACAAGCAGAGAGCCAAGGAAATTGTCTTCCAAATAATACCATTATAACGCTTGACAACACCATTACCCTGGGGATTATAAGGTGTGGAGAAACTAGAAGCAGCATCAAGAGGTGAGGAAGGAACGAAGTTCATGAGATAAGAATGCAGCTCCTCTATCTGAATGTATATATGATGGGGTCCAAAGATTGAAAACAGCTGATGGAGGCACTTAATATCAGTACTACTGCTGACGTTTGGGCAGGGAAATGAAAATGGAAATCTTGAATATTTATCTATTATTGTCAGAAGGTAACGGTTCCTCGAGTTGGAAGGAAGAGGACGTTAAAGTTGATGTCTAAACGTTCGAAGGGAGATGTGGCTTTAATAAGGTGGTTTGAAGGACCAAGAAATTTTGGTTTTAATTTCGCACAGGTAGGACAAGAAGCAGTTAATTTCTTTATTTCCTTCAAAGAAAATGGTAAGTTCCTACTACACACCAAATGATAAAAACGAGTTACTCCTGGGTGGCAGAGAGAGTTGTGGAGGACAGAGAGTTTCTTCAAATCAGGAAGGGCACAGCAAATTCTTAATAGAGCATCAGCAACTGTGTTCCGACTACCAGGATGGTAAATAATATCAAACTTGTAACACGACAGTTCCAATCTCCACCTTAGAATCTTATCAGTCTTAATTTTATTATTAGACTTAGAATGAAACATGAAAACTACTGAACCTTGGTCAGTAATTAATGTAAAATGATATTCACTTAAAAAATGTCTCCACTTCTTTAATGCCTCAACTATAGCATATGCTTCCTTCTCTTTGCTAGAGTGTTTTCTCTCACTACCATTCAAGGATCGCGAGAAGAAAGCCACAGGTTTACCTTCCCAAGACAATGTAGCACCAATAGCAAAATTAGAAGCATCTGTTTCAACAACAAAGGACACATTGTCAATAACAGGAGTCAAGGTAGAACAAGATGTTTCAGCTTTCAAATCTGAAAAGATCATGGCAGCCTCAGTTGACAGTGGAAACAACTTACTCTGAGCTAGATGTTGAATTTTCTCACTAAATCCCTTTATCCATGGGGCATAGGTGGCCAGCATTCCTACTGTTCAGCAAAGAGATGTAATATCTGTAGGGAGAGGTAATTCTAGCAAGGGCTTTAGATGCTCGGGATCTGGACGTATAGCTCCCCCTTCAATTAGGTAACCTAGTATACAAATAGATCTAGAAGAGAATGAACATTTTGCTTTGTCGAGTGTTAAGTTATACTTAAGAACCATGCCCATAAAAGGAGTAAGATTACGATCATGTTCTTCCTGAGTTCTTCCGCAGACAGTAGCATCGTCCAAATAAGCAAATGTGTCAACTAAGCCTTCTTTAACAATCAAATGAGAAATAGAAGTTGAAATCCAGCAACACCATATGTGAGACCAAAACTAATCATCTTAAATTACCACAATTTGTTACAAGCTTAAAATGCTGTATAATGTCTGTCTTCTTTCGGAATGGGAATTTAATAGTAGGCTCGACGCAAATCTATTGTAATGAAAACTTTATAAGAGGCTATTTTCTGAATCAAGTCATCAATTCTAGGGAGAGGGAATGCATCAAACTCAGTAAACTTATTAATAGTGCAAGAGTAGTCTATAACTAACCTTTTCTTTGGACCAGGTACAATCACCACCTGAGCCCTCCATGGTGAATTGCTTTCTTCAATTATACCCTCAGCTGTCAACCTATTAATTTCTGCGTCAATGAAATCCTGATCTGGTTTAGAGAACCATCTAGATTTAGTAGCGATAGGCCTTGTGTCTTTAGATAAATGTTTGAAGAGATGGACCAGTGGCATGTTTGCGAACACTGCAGAACAGATCGACAATGATTTATGGGAGCCACCAAATTTGAAGGACACATCAGTATGCAAAATTAGGAAATCATGCCCTAAAATTACATCAGCACATAGACCAGATAAAGCTGACAGTGAAACCTTTGGATAAGTATGGCCCTTTAAGTTAATAGAAACTATGTACTGACCCCTCACAGTTGAACTTAAAACAGTTGTAACCATAGAAACTTGAGCGGAATGTGGAATAATTCGGAGGCAATGACACAATGCAAAATTATAATCTATGAAACTTTCGGTATTGCCAGTATCCACCAGGGCCCAAGCTAAGATGTTGTTTATCTGTATATTAACCATAGCTCTAGACAAAGGGCTGTGAGCAACAGTTGCCAAGGTTACAGCAGCTGTAGTTGGCTTACTCCCTTTGCTTTTACAGACTCTAGAAAAGTGTTCCCTTTTTCCTCATTTGTTGCAATCTTCGTTTCTAGCAGGGCATCTGTTGTGAAGGTGCTTCATGTAGCCACAATAAGGACACCTACATTCAGTGGCAGCCAGCACATGTGAGGGTAAAGAATTATCTTTGGTATTATTTAAATTCTCTTCCGCCAACTCCTTTTCGTTGAAAATATGAATAGTGCTTACTTTACTAGTATTAGAGACAAAAGTTTCAGACTGAACACAGGCAAATTCTAAAGCATGGACTTGTGATAAGGCATCTACGAGTTTTAAAGTATGGCTTTCCAAAAGGTGCTGTCGTATCTGAGGTGATAACAATCCTGCAATAAAAGCATCACGTACATATTCACTTTTATACTCTTCTGCCGAGACAGAGGTAAAGTTGCAGTCCTTACTTAATGTCCTAAGATTCTGATAATATTTGTCAATGGACTCATTGGGTTGTTGATGATGATTAATTAGACAATGACAAGCGAAAATTACATTTATAAGCTTCTCATATAAGGCAGTCAAAGTCTTAATGGCATCCTGAAATCCAGAGCACTCTGATATATAAGAGTAGACTAAGGGACAAACGAAATTAACAAGAAGACTGAACTTCCTCACATCGTCCATTTCCGTTGATGATACAAAGTTCTCGAATGTTCTGTACCAATGGGACCGCTGTTGAGAGGAACCACTAATATTTGGATTGACATTAAAACGTTCATGTTTAAGTAGACTATCCATCCTAAGTAGTTACAGACACAAATAAATTCTACTATAAAGAGACAAAGATGTTACCTTAACAAAAGGTTTTCTTCGTGTCTGAAACACACGACTGTTAAAAATTCAAATGCAGCAAGAAACAATGCTGCCAGTCTAAGAGACTAACTACTGTGGGGAGAAGTGTTGCCGCAACACTGTGACACTACTATAATTTCTACATTATTTTAACATAAATCTATATCCTGTGCTGTGCTTTATTCACTGATTTTACACATATCTTGCTCATGTTGATATCAAATTTCTGCTCTACTATATTTTTGGTAATAAGCCTTTCTGAAATTTCATATAACAATTGTTTTTTAATATTCTTTATAAATATTAGGATCTTATAAATTCCACTCCTAAGAAGTCTGGTCCAAATCTTTCTCATTTCTCAAGAAATGGGAGATAGATTCCTTTTAAAGGCAACTTTCTTCTCTATCCGTCTTCCTTAAGAATCTCCTTTCTGGCAGCTCTTCCAAGTAGTAGACAGAAAAGCTGTTCCCTTTCTGAAACTGCTCCTTCTCTCCATAAACATATTTTAATAAAACATTATCATAATCTTTTAAAACTGTCCAATCTTTAACATGTTTGCTGCTAGTTGATGTCACTTTACTTTATATGGAGATCATAAAGAAAAATCACTCCAACCATCAGCAGACATATTAAACCATGATTTTTTCATGCTGTGTGTAGGTCCAATAATCTCTCTATAATTGATCCAAACACTATAAATTTTTAAGACTGAGGATCAATGAAATGAAAAATAACATAAATTAATTGAAAAGTTTCTATCAAGTAATCAGATGTCCATGATTCTTTTTCAATAAGGTCTTTTCAAAACGTTTTATTCTGGAAAAAAGGAATTTTTTTTGAATATTTAAACTTAAAAATTCATTAATTAAATATATAAAAGTCAAGAAATTACAAGAAATCTTAAATGCTAATGCTTTTTGTATACTTTATATCACTCTCAAGTCACCATAAAGGAAATAGTATAGAACGACCTTTGATTTTAATGAAGTAACCAATACACTTTTAACAGTGGTTAAGGTTGAAGAAAAACTAACACTTCCTACCTAGTTAATGGACCATCTTAAGGCATAAACAGATGTAAGAAGTATGTCCTCTATACATCAGAGGACATTCCTCTTGTTTGTTCATGCCTGGAGATGCCAAAAATGTTAGCATTTATTCAACCTTATCCACTATTAAAACTTGGTTACTTCATTAAATTAATTGCAGTGCTAGTTTAATTTTATTTGATTTTAATAGCAAATATAACAGAAATAAAATTTAAAACTTTCATCTAAGTCATAACTTCAGCAATTTTGCTTGATTTTGTTCGAGATAATTCCTCAACGAATTCATTATTATTGTTAGTTTAAATCTTTTTATAAAAGAGATAATTTAATGTAAACAAACAAACAAACAAAAAACAGGTTAAATCATAATTGAAAATAAATAAATCTTTAAATCAGCAGAGTTAGATGGCCTTATAAGAAGACAGTTAAGGAGTTTAGGCGTCAGCCTATCTCTCTGGAGACCTAGGATCAAATCTGGACAAGCAACTCCAGGAATTTTCATAGGTGGTCTGACCTAGATATTGGTTTTCATCCTTCACCATCTGGCTGCTCCATTATGGTCCTGTCTGAATCCATGATGGACATGGAAAAAGTCCTCTTAGTGCTCACAGGGTGAAAGGAATTAAAAAAAAAAGCATAACCAGCAGATTTATTTTAAATTAATATTTTCAACTATCCAATTATCTTTAATAGTTAGCTTAAGACATTACAATTAATTTTTAAAACAAAACTGCTATATAAAGGCTAATTTTTTAATGGATAATTGACAAATGACTCAAGTTATAATAATTATATTTCATATAAATTATTTCTAATTACATTATATAATATATATAATTATATATATANAGCTATGTAATGTTTATTTTAAATTATTTCTTAATATCATAAAGAAATAACATTAAAATGCTGATGCAGGTCGTGAATATTTGGGTTATTATGTCAATGTGATGTATGTCAATGTTTATTTCAATTAATGATTCAGTCGGATAATTTCAGTGCATGGGTCGAGATGTCGTTCCTTTATTCTTCATCTATTCTGGCTGACCACATTGTAGATCAAATCTGTCTGGAACAGGGAATTGTTGATGGTCATGTGGTTTTAATCTGGTTGAAAATCAATTAACTCATTCATAAATTCTTTTTATCCAACAATTAAATTGTAATGATACTGTGTAGCATCGCAATGTTATATTGTGATTCTCGGAGCATGTCTAATTGGTCACTCCTGTTATAGATTTTTGGATAACAAAATACTCATTTACTGATTGATGAATTCAAGACCGAAACTTTCTAGAAATAATCAAGTCTCATTCATTGACTCAAAAAGTTTCTTTTTGAGAATTCGAATGGAATATTGCTTTCATACTCCATCATGTATATGTGTTTCTTTGCGATGACAAGAAAAGGTATTACTAATCGGCTTTGGGTGATTTATGACAAGGGATTTATGATGAAAGCGCGAATTTGATTCATAATGAATTATTTTTCTTTCTTTCCTTCTGGCAATTCGATAACCCTATGAAACATTAAATGGAATTACATCACAATTTTTCAATTTACTTGTGTCTTCAAATTGCATTGGCCGTAATTATGACTTAGATTTATATTGAATTTTAATATTTAGCATTTCAAAATGAATAAAATGAGATAGATGATAGCTAATAAATTGAATATAGAATTTAAAATTAATTAATTTGACAGTATTTGCAACTTTTATTTAACTGGTAAACAACTGTACTCTAGGGAGAAGGGCGAACTCGGAAGTAACTAACGAGTTGCAGGTGTACTAACCTCAACAAGAGCCACAAGTTGTCGTACTCACAGGTGTAAACACGGCCTCTTTAATTTGTTACATAGCAAATCTTTTTACTAGGCCAATCATGATTCGGCTAAGCCCACAATGAGGGCCCATCCGGCCTTTAAATTTTGTTGGAAATATTTTCATAAGTTTATTGATCTCATATTTTATATACATTATATGAATGTCAACTATATATTTATGTTATATGCATATTTTTCAGGATCCGTCCACAGATCTCGAGAGAGATCATTGATATGTGCCATGTCTGCACTTCGGTTACACCACGAGAGCCACAGGTGTGGTTGGGAAAAGATAAAGCCTTTACTTACGACAATGTATTTGATATGCCATCCAATCAAGAAGATGTTTACGATACTTGTGTTAAACCGTTAGTGGAAGGGTAAGTTGATATTTATTATATTATTATTTATTACAATTAAAAAATCATTTAAATGTCAGCTGAAATTATTCAAAGCTTAAGAGTTCGTCACCAATCAATAAAATATTGATTATGAGAATATTCAAGGGAATGCTGTAAATTGAAAATTGACGCAAAAGCAAGTTGCCGTTTTGGGAGTTTTTACCTCCAAATTTAAGGGTTTTTTTCTTATCTAGAGGTAAATTTGGAGATGAGTTAAATTTAGAGGTTATAGTTCTACTATTATTTAGGTTGTTTACTCATTTTTTAAAATTCTTAATGTTTAAAACTTCTATATTTAGAGTTGCTGTTTTTTTATTTAAAGTCTACCTCCAAAAGGAGGTAAGACTTTATATAAAAAAACAGCAACACTGCATGAAAATTTGAAGAGGGGAATTTGTTTTCTTCATATTGAACAAATAAAAAATAAATTTTCATTTTATGTATTTGGTATTCGTGATTTGTAAACTTATAAGAATAATATTTAGATTAATCATCAGCTGTCAAATCATTAATGATCTTTTTTAAATAATTATTTCCTCTTAATTATCACCAAGGCAATTATTAAATAAATTATTAGGTTTAATATTGTTAATTTAACCTTTAGAATAGTCAGGTTTTAGAAATCTGTTATTATTTGGAATGCTGCCAGATTATAAAACAATTTTTTAAACTGAATAATAATTAATCATCATGATTTTTTAATTTGATTGTAATTTTTAAATTAAAATAAAAATTCATTACAATGTAAACTAATTAATTTTTTTTGTTTTAAATAGCCATTTTATTGTCAAAAAATTTAATACCTAAGATTAAATTTTAATAGGTTCTTTAATAAAATATATAAATAAATCTTCTTGTATAAAAAAAATTCAATAAAGTTATGCATAAAAATAATTGTAATGTAGCTGGAAAAATATTCAAAGCTAGATTTTTAAATATTTTTAATCTCTGATACTTTTTTTTAAAGTTTTAAAGATGAAAAATCTTAACAATATCTCGAGCTTTTTAAATTTTAAAGCGAGAGATAATATGTTCTAAATTTGTTATATAAAGTAACATTTTTATAAATTTTTAATAACTGCGTTGCATTATATTTTAATGTAAATTATAGAATAAATAAATGAAAGAATTACGCAGATATGTAAAATATTTGCAAACTTTTAAAGAGAAAATGTTTTATAGAGTAGTTATAATTTTTTAATTATTGAAAACGATTTAATATATGCAGTATAAAATGTTATCCACACCCATATAACTTAAAAATTAATATTTCATTTTATGCAGTTATTCTAATTTATTATCTCTTACATATGTATTATAATTTTATTTTATATATAATGAATGATTAACCTATATATATATTTTTTTTAATTTTATAGAAATATCATTCCAAGTTGGATAAAAAAAAATTAATTAAAAGCAAAATACATCTGGCTGTTTTAAATTAAAAAAAAATATTTATTTTCAGAACTTCATTTATTTCTTCATACCTTTTAAGTGTATTAAATTTAAAAATGTATTGGTTTCTTAATTTTTATAAATGAAAACAATTATTTGCTTTAATAAAATAAAACTTTTTAATTGATATATTTAGAAATTATTTTCTTATTATGAATCATAATGAGTTTACAATGTATATAAGAGTATACGAGTTTACGATTTAAGGTTTTGTCGGGATATATTTTGCAATTATTTCTAATAATTTTAACGATTTAACAACAGAATATTCTGTTAATATCCAATATAAATAATTATTATAAATTCATTTATTAATTTCTATTTGTATTCAATATTTATTAACTATTTTTTACAGTCTATAGTTAGATATACTAACTCCACTGTTAAACTACAGACTTTGTCTAGATTTTCTGTTCATAAAAGGCCTATATGTTCATATAAGTTTACCTAAAGATAACATTTTTGATTGATACAATCAAGAATTGTTTTTCAAGAAAAAAACTTATGAAAAACTCTTTCAAAAAATGTTTTCGGGTTACATGAGTCAACTAGGCAAAGAACAGATGTCCATAATCCAGTTGCATTTCTGTATGTGATGAAGAAAAATGAAACAGAATGAAGGGATGTTTTATGCCCATTTTATCACAACAAATATTGGAAGATTTATTAATATATATTACAATAAACACATAAGGAAAATAAATTCTGATGGGAACAAATTAAAACAAAGAGTAAAAAAAGAGGAGAAAAAAATAAAGTAAATACAGTAATATCAAACAAACTGAAACAGAACTTAATGCCACCTACTAAGATGTCTACATGAATTATTGTCACCTTTCTCCTTATATAATAGGTTCCATTCTCTTTTCTTCCATATTATCTTCCATCCAGATAACCATGCAGGTGGAAGAGAATCTTCCCATCTCTCAAATTAAGTATAATCTTTTGTCAGCCAATCACAAAAGTTTGTAGGCTTCATGTAAATTTTAGGTCCTCTCAAGTATACTTTTTCTCCCTAAAATTTCTGTAGTATAAAGAGACAAAGACATTACCTTAACAAAAGGTTTTATTCGTGTCTGAAATGCATGACTGTTACAAATTCAAATGCAGCGAGAAACAGTGCTGCCAGTCCAAGAGACTAACTACTGTGGGGAGAACTGTTGCCACACTGTGACACTACTACATTCACCCCCACTTACTTTACATAATATTGTGGGGGCCGAGGAGGGGGAAAAATTTTAACAAATTCTCGCAATGAACGATAATATGCGATATATATCGTCATCGTCTCCCTTGCCGTTTGGATTGCCGAGCGGTAACAATCAACGACATGTGGAAGCAGTTGAGCCAGAGATAGATGCTTCGTTTACAAACAACACAACCGTTTATTAAACACAAAAGAAGCTTACAAGATTTCCGCGATCTTGGAAGTTCTGCGGCCTCTGGGTCTTCCTCTCCTTTCCAAGATAGTCCCATTTTGAAGTAGTGTCCCTTGTTCGCGAATGAACCACTTCATCACGTCTCGATGACTCCGGAACGATGCGGTCAACTTCCGTTGATGGAAAGATGTCGATCCGAGGTCGGGAGATGGAGACGAAGATGGGTGCGAGACACACACACAACAACAGATCCGTCACTTGGAACTTTCGGGAGAAGAAGCCGTCGCGTCCTCGAATTTCCGGGGTTTTATCCGTTTTCTCTCAGATTCCCCTTTCCGATTGGTCTCTCCTCGTCACCTGATGACAATTCGAAACCTTTCGGGGCGCGGGAGAGGTCAAAATCAAAGTTTAATTCAATCTCCAACCGGAAATGGTCAACGGACTTACATTCCTCTATTGTTTAAAAGTTAGCGTCGCGTTTTCATAAAATAAAAATCTATTTCTAACTACTATATTATTTTCTTTAAAACAATTATTTTAACGCGAATTTTAGTGAGGGTTCGGACCTGTCCAGAGCCTCACAATATAGTCCTTCAAATAACTGGGCTGACGGCACTGCCTTGCAGGACAAGGCAACCCAATTACTTCTGTTGGAGATGAGAAAATATCTTTTTCTTTGACTTGGGAGGGATACAAATCACTCTCGCAAGATGGAGGAGGCATTGCCTGAACATCAGAGCTAGCTTGATCAGGAATCTGGGCCGAAACATTAGGGAAGGCCATGCCATCTTTTGAAGATTCAGGCAATGTGCCTTAGGGACACTGTCGATGTCCACCCATCGGGGTACTGAACACGAGGCTACTTAGGATTAACCTCCAATAACTGGACTTCCTCTACTAGAGGGGCATATTTATTGGTGCGGTTATGTGAACGTAGTAGGACAGCTCCCAGTGATAGCAACCAAGTGGGAAGGCCAATACCCATTCCTGCCTTTCGGGGGTGTCTGAAAAATCTTTCATGAGGTGTAGAATTTGTAGCAGTGCATAGGAGAGATTGAACAGCATGTAATGCATTGCCTAGTACATCTTCCCACTGATCAATACTTTGATTAGACAAGCAGAGAGCCAAGGAAATTGTCTTCCAAATAATACCATTATAACGCTTGACAACACCATTACCCTGGGGATTATAAGGTGTGGAGAAACTAGAAGCAGCATCAAGAGGTGAGGAAGGAACGAAGTTCATGAGATAAGAATGCAGCTCCTCTATCTGAATGTATATATGATGGGGTCCAAAGATTGAAAACAGCTGATGGAGGCACTTAATATCAGTACTACTGCTGACGTTTGGGCAGGGAAATGAAAATGGAAATCTTGAATATTTATCTATTATTGTCAGAAGGTAACGGTTCCTCGAGTTGGAAGGAAGAGGACGTTAAAGTTGATGTCTAAACGTTCGAAGGGAGATGTGGCTTTAATAAGGTGGTTTGAAGGACCAAGAAATTTTGGTTTTAATTTCGCACAGGTAGGACAAGAAGCAGTTAATTTCTTTATTTCCTTCAAAGAAAATGGTAAGTTCCTACTACACACCAAATGATAAAAACGAGTTACTCCTGGGTGGCAGAGAGAGTTGTGGAGGACAGAGAGTTTCTTCAAATCAGGAAGGGCACAGCAAATTCTTAATAGAGCATCAGCAACTGTGTTCCGACTACCAGGATGGTAAATAATATCAAACTTGTAACACGACAGTTCCAATCTCCACCTTAGAATCTTATCAGTCTTAATTTTATTATTAGACTTAGAATGAAACATGAAAACTACTGAACCTTGGTCAGTAATTAATGTAAAATGATATTCACTTAAAAAATGTCTCCACTTCTTTAATGCCTCAACTATAGCATATGCTTCCTTCTCTTTGCTAGAGTGTTTTCTCTCACTACCATTCAAGGATCGCGAGAAGAAAGCCACAGGTTTACCTTCCCAAGACAATGTAGCACCAATAGCAAAATTAGAAGCATCTGTTTCAACAACAAAGGACACATTGTCAATAACAGGAGTCAAGGTAGAACAAGATGTTTCAGCTTTCAAATCTGAAAAGATCATGGCAGCCTCAGTTGACAGTGGAAACAACTTACTCTGAGCTAGATGTTGAATTTTCTCACTAAATCCCTTTATCCATGGGGCATAGGTGGCCAGCATTCCTACTGTTCAGCAAAGAGATGTAATATCTGTAGGGAGAGGTAATTCTAGCAAGGGCTTTAGATGCTCGGGATCTGGACGTATAGCTCCCCCTTCAATTAGGTAACCTAGTATACAAATAGATCTAGAAGAGAATGAACATTTTGCTTTGTCGAGTGTTAAGTTATACTTAAGAACCATGCCCATAAAAGGAGTAAGATTACGATCATGTTCTTCCTGAGTTCTTCCGCAGACAGTAGCATCGTCCAAATAAGCAAATGTGTCAACTAAGCCTTCTTTAACAATCAAATGAGAAATAGAAGTTGAAATCCAGCAACACCATATGTGAGACCAAAACTAATCATCTTAAATTACCACAATTTGTTACAAGCTTAAAATGCTGTATAATGTCTGTCTTCTTTCGGAATGGAATTTAATAGTAGGCTCGACGCAAATCTATTGTAATGAAAACTTTATAAGAGGCTATTTTCTGAATCAAGTCATCAATTCTAGGGAGAGGGAATGCATCAAACTCAGTAAACTTATTAATAGTGCAAGAGTAGTCTATAACTAACCTTTTCTTTGGACCAGGTACAATCACCACCTGAGCCCTCCATGGTGAATTGCTTTCTTCAATTATACCCTCAGCTGTCAACCTATTAATTTCTGCGTCAATGAAATCCTGATCTGGTTTAGAGAACCATCTAGATTTAGTAGCGATAGGCCTTGTGTCTTTAGATAAATGTTTGAAGAGATGGACCAGTGGCATGTTTGCGAACACTGCAGAACAGATCGACAATGATTTATGGGAGCCACCAAATTTGAAGGACACATCAGTATGCAAAATTAGGAAATCATGCCCTAAAATTACGTCAGCACATAGACCAGATAAAGCTGACAGTGAAACCTTTGGATAAGTATGGCCCTTTAAGTTAATAGAAACTATGTACTGACCCCTCACAGTTGAACTTAAAACAGTTGTAACCATAGAAACTTGAGCGGAATGTGGAATAATTCGGAGGCAATGACACAATGCAAAATTATAATCTATGAAACTTTCGGTATTGCCAGTATCCACCAGGGCCTAAGCTAAGATGTTGTTTATCTGTATATTAACCATAGCTCTAGACAAAGGGCTGTGAGCAACAGTTGCCAAGGTTACAGCAGCTGTAGTTGGCTTACTCCCTTTGCTTTTACAGACTCTAGAAAAGTGTTCCCTTTTTCCTCATTTGTTGCAATCTTCGTTTCTAGCAGGGCATCTGTTGTGAAGGTGCTTCATGTAGCCACAATAAGGACACCTACATTCAGTGGCAGCCAGCACATGTGAGGGTAAAGAATTATCTTTGGTATTATTTAAATTCTCTTCCGCCAACTCCTTTTCGTTGAAAATATGAATAGTGCTTACTTTACTAGTATTAGAGACAAAAGTTTCAGACTGAACACAGGCAAATTCTAAAGCATGGACTTGTGATAAGGCATCTACGAGTTTTAAAGTATGGCTTTCCAAAAGGTGCTGTCGTATCTGAGGTGATAACAATCCTGCAATAAAAGCATCACGTACATATTCACTTTTATACTGTTCTGCCGAGACAGAGGTAAAGTTGCAGTCCTTACTTAATGTCCTAAGATTCTGATAATATTTGTCAATGGACTCATTGGGTTGTTGATGATGATTAATTAGACAATGACAAGCGAAAATTACATTTATAAGCTTCTCATATAAGGCAGTCAAAGTCTTAATGGCATCCTGAAATCCAGAGCACTCTGATATATAAGAGTAGACTAAGGGACAAACGAAATTAACAAGAAGACTGAACTTCCTCACATCGTCCATTTCCGTTCATGATACAAAGTTCTCGAATGTTCTGTACCAATGGGACCGCTGTTGAGAGGAACCACTAATATTTGGATTGACATTAAAACGTTCATGTTTAAGTAGACTATCCATCCTAAGTAGTTACAGACACAAATAAATTCTACTATAAAGAGACAAAGATGTTACCTTAACAAAAGGTTTTCTTCGTGTCTGAAACACACGACTGTTAAAAATTCAAATGCAGCAAGAAACAATGCTGCCAGTCTAAGAGACTAACTACTGTGGGGAGAAGTGTTGCCGCAACACTGTGACACTACTATAATTTCTACATTATTTTAACATAAATCTATATCCTGTGCTGTGCTTTATTCACTGATTTTACACATATCTTGCTCATGTTGATATCAAATTTCTGCTCTACTATATTTTTGGTAATAAGCCTTTCTGAAATTTCATATAACAATTGTTTTTTAATATTCTTTATAAATATTAGGATCTTATAAATTCCACTCCTAAGAAGTCTGGTCCAAATCTTTCTCATTTCTCAAGAAATGGGAGATAGATTCCTTTTAAAGGCAACTTTCTTCTCTATCCGTCTTCCTTAAGAATCTCCTTTCTGGCAGCTCTTCCAAGTAGTAGACAGAAAAGCTGTTCCCTTTCTGAAACTGCTCCTTCTCTCCATAAACATATTTTAATAAAACATTATCATAATCTTTTAAAACTGTCCAATCTTTAACATGTTTGCTGCTAGTTGATGTCACTTTACTTTATATGGAGATCATAAAGAAAAATCACTCCAACCATCAGCAGACATATTAAACCATGATTTTTTCATGCTGTGTGTAGGTCCAATAATCTCTCTATAATTGATCCAAACACTATAAATTTTTAAGACTGAGGATCAATGAAATGAAAAATAACATAAATTAATTGAAAAGTTTCTATCAAGTAATCAGATGTCCATGATTCTTTTTCAATAAGGTCTTTTCAAAACGTTTTATTCTGGAAAAAAGGAATTTTTTTTGAATATTTAAACTTAAAAATTCATTAATTAAATATATAAAAGTCAAGAAATTACAAGAAATCTTAAATGCTAATGCTTTTTGTATACTTTATATCACTCTCAAGTCACCATAAAGGAAATAGTATAGAACGACCTTTGATTTTAATGAAGTAACCAATACACTTTTAACAGTGGTTAAGGTTGAAGAAAAACTAACACTTCCTACCTAGTTAATGGACCATCTTAAGGCATAAACAGATGTAAGAAGTATGTCCTCTATACATCAGAGGACATTCCTCTTGTTTGTTCATGCCTGGAGATGCCAAAAATGTTAGCATTTATTCAACCTTATCCACTATTAAAACTTGGTTACTTCATTAAATTAATTGCAGTGCTAGTTTAATTTTATTTGATTTTAATAGCAAATATAACAGAAATAAAATTTAAAACTTTCATCTAAGTCATAACTTCAGCAATTTTGCTTGATTTTGTTCGAGATAATTCCTCAACGAATTCATTATTATTGTTAGTTTAAATCTTTTTATAAAAGAGATAATTTAATGTAAACAAACAAACAAACAAAAAACAGGTTAAATCATAATTGAAAATAAATAAATCTTTAAATCAGCAGAGTTAGATGGCCTTATAAGAAGACAGTTAAGGAGTTTAGGCGTCAGCCTATCTCTCTGGAGACCTAGGATCAAATCTGGACAAGCAACTCCAGGAATTTTCATAGGTGGTCTGACCTAGATATTGGTTTTCATCCTTCACCATCTGGCTGCTCCATTATGGTCCTGTCTGAATCCATGATGGACATGGAAAAAGTCCTCTTAGTGCTCACAGGGTGAAAGGAATTAAAAAAAAAAGCATAACCAGCAGATTTATTTTAAATTAATATTTTCAACTATCCAATTATCTTTAATAGTTAGCTTAAGACATTACAATTAATTTTTAAAACAAAACTGCTATATAAAGGCTAATTTTTTAATGGATAATTGACAAATGACTCAAGTTATAATAATTATATTTCATATAAATTATTTCTAATTACATTATATAATATATATAATTATATATATAGTACTGAGTAATGAGTAATGGAATAATGTGAAGAAATAGACAAACTCACTGCTAAAAATTATTATTGATTGATATAATTTTAATAAACTGATATAACTTCATATAATTTTAGTAATAATTAATAATTACATTAACAGGGTATTAAAGTAATTATTAATATCAATAAATAGACATGACATACTGAAAGTTTAGTGTATTTACAGCATATAAGAAGCAAATTTTGCTTAAAAAGGCTCAAAAAAATCACTGCATCTTATATGTGAAGTTGCAATCTCCCATAGAGTTGGGCTAATGATTCGTCAGTATGCTACAAGTAATCTCTACCTAGCCCAACTCTTGAATAAAAATTGTTATTGATTATTTTTATTCAAGAGTTGGGCTAAGTAGAGATTACTTGTACCAAACATGTACGTACTGAAATCTTATATACAAAATATGTTATTTGTTATTTCATAAACAGTAATTTTGACATTTTTTTTCGGTATTTATGTTATTTAGCATTGAATTATACTACTATTCTTGATATATATACTATATTATTTTGGATTTATCTGTGATATGTATGCCATTTACCATTATATAAACAAGTAATTGTCAAGTTATAGTTTAATTATTTCAATATTTACTAATAAAAATTAAATTTCTTCTTTTAAGAATAAATGTTTACTTAAAAAGAGAGAATTTATAACTTTATCTATATTGTAAAAATATAAATTAAATTTTGTTTGCATTGACAAAATATGTAGATTAGCACAAATTTTTTTTTTATTGATTACATATTTTTGCTTTTTCTTAGATGCTTTGATGGTTATAATGCAACAGTCTTGGCCTATGGTCAGGTTAGTAGAGAATTTTATAATTAATTAATTTGTTTATTATTTATTTTTCACACCAATAATTGAACTTATTATTTATAGGAATTGTAATTACTTTCATACTAAGAAAGAATATAAACTAAATACATGATTAATGTCAATATATTTATTAATATCATTTTAATGTAATATTTACAGACAGGATCTGGTAAAACATATACCATGGGTACTGGTTTTGACATTGCACTTGGAGTGCAAGAAAGAGGAATTATTCCTAGAGCAGTGGAACATTTATTTGACGGCATTGTTAGAAGACAAAAAGAAGCTAGAGAAAAAGGAGAAATACCACCAGAATTTAAAGTGAATGCTCAATTTATGGAGGTATTGAAACTTTTATTATTATTTTTTTTTTAGTTTACAAGTTTGTTTAAACATGTTAAAATTTTATTTTTAGAAAATTTATTATTTTATTATACGATGAAAACTTATAGAAATTTATTTTTTTCTTTCATTGTTATATTTAAAAAATATATTTGTGTTTATAAATAGTCACAATAAGCATTCACAAACTTAAAGATCTCTGAATAGTAATATATACACACACAAACACATATATATATATATGTGTGTTTGTGTGTGTATATATTACTGTGAAGTTAGTAATTCTGCAAGTACTGATAATGAACAGCAAAATCAGTGATGAATATCAGAAAATCGAGATTTTTTAAGGTTTTCTGGTACACGTTAATGAATACATGATTAATGTTCATATTCTTGTAAACATGTTGGTGTGTCTTGAGAAAAAAGTTGTTATTGCATATTTTTTCTTTAATCAAAATTACAAGAATGAAAAGATTACTATTGCAGAGAGTTAGCTTAGTTATTATAACATGATATATTGTCATGATATTTGGAATTTAACACTTATGACAAACTATTTATTTGTTGCATATTTTTTTTTACAAGAACATCATTTGTATATTCCATCATTTGTTGCAAGGATACAATTTAACATAAGGAAACTTCTTAGGAAATATCACTAATGACAAGCAGTTTTTTTTTTTGCAAACATTTAACTGATTGCAGGTGTTTTACTGTTTGATTATGCCATGTTTATTTCTAACCTGATAAGAATCATCATATACTGTACAACACCAGCTAAAATACTGTGTAGGAAAGTATGTCAACAAGCAACATTTAGAACACTAGTTTGTACAGATTTACCTGCTTGAATAGAAGAAAAATGTGTGTCTGAAGCTTTGAATGTTTTCTTAGCCTACGGATGGCAACCATCTCTCTTCTTTTTTGGAAACATTCTATGAATTTGCACATAATTGCATATAGTTTTTGCAATAATGATCTTTTCATACTTTTAATTCCAATAATAAAAACAAAATATGCAACAATGACTTTTTCTTGAGATGCAATGCATATGAGAATATCAACATTCATCATATATCTACTAGTGAATGCCAGAAATCCTTAGAAAATCCTGATTTCTCACATTCACAGCATTATTAGCTTTCACAGCAGTATGTATATAAAATTTGCATGCATATATATATATAAAACAAATACACAAAATTTTTTTGTGTATTTGTTTTGTGTATTTGTGTAAATTAGAATATGACTAATATTAAAATTTCAGCACTTTTTATTTAATATTAGTCATATTCTAATTTAAAATTAAATTAAAAAATAGGTAATGTTTGATAAAATATGCAATGTGATATTTAGAAAAAAAGTAAAAAGTTTCAATGTTTTACAACTAGATAACATTTATCAAAATTTATACTGTATCTAGATTCAAAAATAAATGCAACTTAAAAAAATATTGAATTGAATAAAATTTTTATATCAATTAATAAATTTCTTTAGCTTGTTGGCTATTTTTTTAACAAAATATTTAAACTTAAACATTTAAAGCTATTAAGGAGCTGTCCATAAATTACGTCTGCATTTTTCTTCAAATTTTTATTCTCCCTTCCCCTTTTGTCCAAATTTCCATAACCCTCATTCCCTCTTCGGACATCCAACAAAACTTGACTTCCCTTAAAACCTTTATCACTTTATGAATGATAGATAACATAATTAGTAACGAAACATACAAAAAATTTTGAAAAAAATATAATAAAATGAATAAACTGTATAAAATTTAATGAAATAAATGGATATCCACTGAAGCTCAACCTCTCCCCTCCCCTGTCAAACTTTGTCCAATTTGTTGTAACCCTCTCCCTCTCTTTCATGGTGGTTGTCATTAATGGACAGCACCTAAGATGTTTAAGGTTGGTGATGTTTAAGTGATATTTAAGGTTAACAGGCAAATTTTCAATACCTTTTAATATTTAATATTTATCTTCATATCTCTAAAAGTTTATTGTTTAAAATTTAAATTTTTGGAGTGACGTATGCTTCGGGATTTATATTTGAATCAAATAATATTTGAAACTGTTAACCTAAACTGATTAATTATATAAACAGATTAAATGATTTCCATTATCTTGGGTTCAGTTTTAATATATGCCACAGTATGCAGGAATGCACGTAATTTTAAAGAACAAATTTATTCTGAACTTGTCGTTCTAAAATTTCAAAATGAGAGCAAATGTAAAAAGCAAACTGTAATTTCCTTAAAATGAAAAAGTACTTGTTACTTGAAGTAAAGCATTGTTTTTATTCTATTCTAAATGCTAAACTATTGAAGATCCTAATCTTTATATCTTTATAAGCCTAAGGTTGAATAGCTATTTAAAAATTACATTTATGAAATGATGATGTCCAAGTTCTGATATAAAACGTTTGGATTTCAATTATTAATATAGATTTTTTAAATTATATTAAAACAGAAAATTTTATTATTATTTCAGTTTAGAAACTATTACAAATAAAATTAGAATAGTACAATCTTAAATTGTAATCAAATTAATAATATAAGCTAATATAATGGATAAGTTTTTTAAATTTTGAATATATGTATATATCTTATTTATTTGTATGTCCTGATTATTTTAGCTTTATAATGAAGAAATATTTGATTTATTGGATCCAGCACGAGAATTAGATGAAAGGGTAATTAATAAAAATATTTTAAAACTTTATAACAATAATTTATTGTAATATATATAATTATAAATGTTAATATTTTTAAGCATTTGTAAAGAATTAATTTACTGTGTAAATCAAAATGACTGTGTATATTTAGACAATTATATTACATAATTTGTTCGTGAAGGGAAATGAATAACTAAACAAATATATGTCCTTGAAAATAAATGAGTCATTTGTTTTATTATGCATCTATAAATCTTTAAGTGTTTTTTACCTTTAATTAGCTATGTGCAAATTGTTAAATAACAAATTACATGACGTATTCAATGTTTAAAGAAGTAAATTTTAAAAAGGAATTTTTTCTTTTTGCGGAAAGTAATTACTAACCTCAATAGCTTATGTTTCTTTGATAATAATTTAATCCTTAGACTAATCTCATTAAAATATAATGTAAATAAATCTAAACATGAATCTAAATGGTTTAAAATATTAGCTATTTTTTTATAAGTAAATTAATATAACTGATTTATAAATTGTATAAATAAATAAAATTAATTTTATATTCTACAGAAATAAATTAATTAAAAAAGTTCTATAATAATATAAATTCAATAAATAAAATTTAATCCAAAAATATTCTTACTTAACAATATTTATTACATATTATCTGAGAAATTATTTCATTAATTTATTTCAATTAGATACATTTTAGTTAAATATCTGGTTGATTTTACTTAACATAAAGTTTTATAGGATAAACATTTAAATATTAAAATAATTAAAATACAGTATAATATTTTTTTAGCACACATATTTAACATTTACCATATTTCCTTGATTAAACTCCTGGTTGTTTATTTTTAAAATGTATGAGGGCGATTTTTTTTCTAGCTCCGATGGTCCATAAAACAAAGACAAGTGTAAATAACAAAATGAATTTATTACTAAAAGTTAGGTACAAACAGTTACTTTTCGACATAATCACCATGAAGACTGAGGCATTTCTCATATCTGTGGATGAGTTTTTTATCTCTTGTCATATTGATAGAATGTTGCCGCCAGTTAATTGAGATGGCCTTAACAACGTTGTTTTGAAGATTGTCATTAGTTTATTAGTCTCAAACCTCTGCCCTGCTAGCCATGTTTTCAGTTCAGGAAAGAGGTGGAAGTCGTCACACATTAAAAAGTTTTAACCTGGGTAGAAATCTAAAAGGTGGAAGTCTCTGCCACCCAGCATATAGTCTTGATTTAGCACAAAGCAACTTCCACCTCTTTCCTGAACAGGAAAAGTGGCTATGAGGGCAGAGGTTCGAGACTAATGACGATCTTCAAAAAACGTTAGGGCCCATCTCAACTCATTGGCGGCAACATTCTATGACAAGAGGATGAAAAAACTCGTCCACAGATATGACAAATGCCTCAATCTTCACGGTGATTATGTCAAAAAGTAACCATGTTTGTCCCTAACTTTTGGTAATAAATTCATTTTGTTATTTACACTTGTCTTCTTTTTATGGACCATCGGAGCTTGAAAAAAAAAAACAGCCTACGTACTTATTCCCTGGGATTTTTTTCAAGGCCAGAGTTTATTACCTTGCAACAGGAGATGAATGGTTAAAAATTGAAAAAATACCTTAATTATCTTAATTTACAAGTTACAATTTACATTTGAAATAATTACTGTTGTCATAGTTAATCTAATTCAGCACCTTCCAATTCAGTTGTTACATTGTTTACATTGTCTTTCTTGTCTATTTTGATTTTGTTGTTAGAATCAGGATCATGATTACTATCTTCTGGTTCAAATTCATCATCTTGGTTGGATGGCCAAGGCAGTTAAGATGTCAACCTATCACTTACAAAACAAAGCCAGGAGGATCAAAAAAGCCCAAGAATTTTTCTGGGATAGTCTGTCCCAGATATATCAGGGTTCATTCCTCACTACCTGTCCATCTCGTTGTGAGCCTAGCTGAACCTGCAATGGGTTTGGAAAAAAGGACCTCTTACTGCTCACAGGACAGAAAGACAATCTGTCACTAAACTACATTATCCTATATAGAGTAGTACTTCAACAGGTTTCCTATACTTTTCAACCTGGGTTTATTTTTAACACCTTTATTCCCCAAGGCTTATTCAAAGACTAGAGTTTAATCGAGGAAATATGGTATTTATAAATAATTATAAATTTTGACTTTAGTAACAAAATGACTTCATATACTATTTTAGGGGAAAAAAACACATATTAAAATTCATGAAGATGCTAGAGGTGGCATTTATACAGTTGGTGTAACCACAAGAACAGTTATGTCAGTTGAAGAGGTAAGATTATAATATTAATTACAGACTAAAAGTACATACAATTGTCAATTGTAATTTATATTTTATTAAATTAGGTTATTTTAATAAAGTAAATTCTTAATATACAACAATCACTATCATTTTATTATTTATTGTCGTACAATAGACACATGAACATATTTCTCATTTTATTTTAATTGGAATGTTATTTATAAGAAATTATGAAGAAGTGAATGATAGTTTAATTAAAAACATATGTCTTATCATTAAAAGATTTATAAGTATTCTTAATGCACTATATGTGATTTATTTAAAATTTATATTGTTTTCATGTTCCAGAATTTTTCTAGTAACTTTTAATTCTAATTTCTTAAAATTTATTTTCTAGACTCTTCAATGTTTAAAAGTTGGAGCTTTATCTAGAACAACTGCTAGTACTCAAATGAATGCTCAGTCATCACGTTCTCATGCTATATTTACTTTACATATTAAACAACAAAGAATTGTTAAATTAAAGGTTTCTATTTTTATTTTTTTTAATTTAAAAAGAAAAAAAATGAATTAATGTCCAAATATTTAGTTTATAGTAAATTGAAATGATATTCTTTAATTTGTTCCTATCCTTTTGTATTTTGTCCCTAGTTATTTGAATTTTTATAACCAAGTGAATACAAAAATTAAAATTAATGAGAATAAAAGTTTTATTAATACATTTATGTTATTTAATTAGTTAACATGTGATAACATAACAGTTTTTTAATTTTTTTTAAGAATGGAGGACATATGGTAATAGAAGATTTAGAAGAAGATGAAGGTGTTGATGGAGTAGATGAACCTCTAAATGAATTTGAAACACTTACAGCAAAATTTCATTTTGTTGATTTGGCGGGATCTGAACGATTAAAACGAACAGGGGCAACTGGAGAAAGAGCAAAAGAAGGCATTTCTATCAATTGTGGTTTGGTAATTACATAAAATATTTTTTTGATTTTTTTTTCAAATTTCAAATCTAATCAGAGAAAATATTTAATTTTTTAAATATTTATTATAAAGCTATTTTGAAACAAAAACATAAAACATAATTAAATGGCATGTATTTACAAGATAATGATAATTTAAATGGCTTAACCTGACATTTCTGTAACAAATCACTGATTGAAAAGTTTTCAGATTCAGTACATTTATAAATAAGAAATCTTTACTTCAAATTATTAATTCCCCCTTTTTTTTTTATGAAAGAATGTTTGTAATAAGTTCTGTTACAAATTTAACAAATAAGAATACTATAAAGACCTGTGGCAGTACACCATGTATTTTGTATATAGTTTATATTTTATTTTAATTAGCTTTATTTTTCTTTCTATGTTCCTTTCTTTCCCCCTTTTTTTTTTCTCCTTTCTTCGTTCTGTGGTTTACCCTCTATGGAGAGTCTCTCCCCGAAATTCCTTTACTTATTGGCTATCGAAAACACCCTAAAACAAGGGGAGGGGTGAGGTAAGAGAAGTAAGGGGGACGAGAGGGAGGAATGAAGTGAGAAAGAGTGGGAGAAGGTTTTTGGAGTGCACGTGAGACGAAGGGAGAGTCTGAGAGACGGACAAAGAAATATCCATGATAGACCCATGGAAATTAAGAACGAATCTTCGCATCATAACCGCTGACAGTTGTGTGACTTGAAGGAAAAAAGGGAGATCTTTCCAACTTTACATAAGACCCTCACTAAGGACATTGCAAAGAGAAACGATCTTCGAAGGCCTTACATACTAGCATTGGGTACCCCTTTTCTGAGTTCTAACTTTCCTTTACCTATCCCCTATCTTCTTACCTTAGTTAATATTAGTTTAAGTCTTATTTGTTATTAGTGTTTAAGATAGATTTAGATTTTTGCGTGATGATTTTCAATAACGGTTCTTTATGTTGTGTCCTATGATTCGGGATTTTGTTTGTGTAACCTTGTTTGCGATTCTGATTGTTTCTAACTGTCAGGACATAAAGTTAGCACTGGCATCCTAAAGAAGCCTGTAGTTAAGCTTCCAACCTTAATTAAAGTTGTCCTTTTTGTCGTACTTTGCTTCCACGTGTCTTCCTTAAAGATGAAAACTACATACTTTCACAGACCATACATATTTCCTATAGGGAATCTGTTATAAGAAACTGCTCTGCACCAAAATTTACCTAAATTTGCACTATAATGAATAAAAAAATTTGTTAAAACTTTGTTGGTATGCATATGCATAATTCTTTATAAAACTTATAAAATAAAACATGAAAACAAATTTTTATCACCAGAGCAGTTTAGCAATGTTGAACAAAATACACCTATTCACATAGAAAAATCTGTTTGAAAAATATATATATTTTTTAAATTCAATGTTTTTTATCAGAAAATCTTGAATTTAAGAAAAGTTAAAAATTATGTCATCTCAGAATCTAAAATTCTAAATATCATGAACATATTCTGATGTATGTTGAGAAGAGAAATTTGTTCCTCTAGTCCACATCATTTAAATTACTGTACTGTACATAATATAGAAGTAATAAGTAATCAAGTTTTACAGTGAATTATACAAAGTCCCATAGATGCTTGGAGAAGAAACACTTAACAATGGAGAAAACATCCCAGAAGTTATAACGGAAGAAATAGAATCAGCGCTCAAAACTATGAAAAATGGTAAAGCAGCTGGTAATGACGGAATAACAGCTGAATTGTTGAAATATGCTGGCAGAAAGACATGGAAAATCTTGGCAAATATATACACAGAATGCCTAAGGTCAAGACACATACCAGATCATTGGAACAGGGTGAATATAATACTTATTCATAAGAAAGGCAGCAAAGAAGACATTAAAAATTATAGACCCATAGATGACCAAGACAAAACCTTTCTCACTAGTTTCTAGCCGTTTATACATGAGGACGAATGTTTTCGGCCTTCTTAATAGGCCTTCTTCAGGTACACTGTGGTCTATTAGAGCGTCGGTTGGTAGAAATTTAAACAATGTCAATGTTTACATAGGTATTGTCTTACCAGATGCTCTAACAGACTACAGTGTATCTGAAGAAGGCTGAAAACGTTCGTCCTCGTATATAAACGGCTAGAAACTAGTGAGAAACGTTTTGTCTTGGTCATCTTAAAATAGTTCTAGCTCCAAATGCATAGAAGTATAGACCCATAAGTTATTTACAAAATATTTACGAAGATTATCAATAATAGATTAAAAAACACGTTAGATGTTGCACAACCATGGGAACAGGCTGGCTTTAGAAGTGGTTTCAGTACATTAGATCATATACAAACACTGAGAGAATTATTAAGCCATACCAATGAATATCGAAACCACTGGCAATGGCCTTCATTGACTTTGAAAAGGCTTTCAACTCCATATATCCCAGAGCATTAATTAAATTAATTAATAGAAGCTTTAACCAACCAAGGCATTGACAAACCATACATAGAAACTTTAGCCAACATGTACAGAGAAGCAAAAGCTAAAGTGAAAATTTATGATGACACTCCAGAATTTCCCACAACCAAAGGCATTCGACCAGGAGACTCGATATCACCCAAGCTCTTCACGGCAACCCTAGAAAATGTATTCCGTAAAATAGATTGGAGGAATAAAGGTATATCTATAGATGGAGAACACCTCAACCATCTAAGATTTGCTGATGATATCCTCCTAATAGCTAAAGATCCTTCTGAACTACAAGAAATAATCAGAAATTTAAACAAAGTTAGCAATGAAGTTGGCCTTAAAATGAACTTGGCGAAAACAAAAGTCATGTACACTGATCTGGTAGACAGTCAAGACATAACAATAAACAGCATCACACTAGAAACGGTAGCTGAATATATATACCTGGGACAAGTAATATCCAAATCTGGCTCACTACTTCCAGAAATCAACAGGAGGATCAAACTAGCATGGTCTACATTCGGATGAAATTCTGAAATCTTCAGGTCTAAAATGCCAATCCACCTTAAGAAAAGAGCATTTAATCAATGCATACTACCAGTCATGACTTATGGATGTGAAACTTGGACACTAAAGAAAGAAATAACAGTGAAACTTCAAGTTGCCCAAAGGTCAATGGAGAGATACATGCTAGGAATAATCAAGAGAGATCAAAAAAGAATAGAGTGGATTAGGCAAAGAAGCCAGGTAACTGATGTAATCCACAGAATTAAATCTCTCAAATGGTAATGGGCAGGACATCTGACAAGGACTACGGACAACAGATGGTCCACGAGAATCACAGTGTGGTATCCACGGGGAATCAAAAGACCCAAGGGATGTTCATACTTAAGATGGGATTATGACATAAGGAGACAAGCAGGCACACAACATGGAGGAGAGTGGCAAATGATAGGCAAACATGGGCACAAATGGTAGTCAATTGTGTAAGGGAGGCTACACCATAACTTGAAATGGTAGAATAAGCTGAAGCTGATGATGATGATGACATAATATAGATTTCTTTTATTCAAAATTTGATAGATGATTTGCATTTAAAAAAGTGTAATGTTTTGGTTACGATTTACTTTAGCATTGATTCAATTTAAAAGTCATTTTTTCCAGTATTTTAGCACTTCTTTAAATTTTCAATTATAACTGTTTAAGACTTAATCACACATGAGCATTCTGAATTTTGTCTCTCATTTAGGATCTTGGATCACTAGAAAATATAATTTTTCAATCTTTTTTTAAAATTTTGAAATTTTTCCATCAAACACACTTTGAAAACTCTGAAAGACTATTTATTCCTTAAAGTTATAATTGATTGCAAAGTTTATTGATTGAAAGTTTATTCCTTAAAGTTATAATTGATTGCAGATTTTTACTGTATTCATAATAGCATAATTAAGATAATTTTACATAAATTATCTCCATTAAAAATAGAAAAACAATTCAATAAAGTCTAAATACCATTGGTGGCTAACTAGACATGCTTTGAAAACTGCATTTAGTATAACTATTGGGTTTTGAGATGTTTATAAATGTGGTAACACAATGTAACATTTTGATGTTAATGGAAAATACTAAGACAAATTTGTTTCGTTATTTGTGTGCAATTTTAATACACTAATATGCAAAGTTATTTTCAAAGAATATAAACAAAAAATTGAACATTATCAATGCTATGACTTAAGCAATTTATCAGTTAAAAGAATTTTGTGGTCTGAAGACCATGTGTTCTGTTGCGTAACCAGCTCATAACCAGCCCCTTGGGTTCATGGAATAAACGAGGGATGGGCCCTCATAGCATAAAAGTTTTCTGTTTGTTGTAAAAGTTAATGGGAGGAGGGGAGACATGTGGTTTGAAGATCACGTGTTCTAGTGCTTAAACAGCTCCTTGGGTGGGCCACAGGGTAAAGAAGGGATGGGCATTCTCAATGACGACCAAAAAAAAAACCCAAATCAAGGGGGAAGAGAGGGAGCTCGCACATGCTCAACGGAGGAGGTGGGATTTTTTTCAGAAGAAAGAAAGAAGAGAGAAGACGTGTAGACGATAGAGTCATGAGATTGTTTTCTTGTGTGTGTTGTTTCCTTTGTTTTAGTGTGTGTTATAGCGAAGGGACAGAGTAGTGATCAGAAGGACTAGAATAAATTTTAAGTTCCTTGCATTGGAGTCAGAGTGTGTGATTTATTTCTTTGAAGTTTCTTTTTTTGTTTTGTTCCTGTACAGGGAGTACTGTACTCTAAAGATCGAGTACTTCCCCACAATTTAGATAATACATTATTTTAAAATAATTTTATAAGTATCAATTAACTATCTAGTCAGTTCCATTTGTTTTTATACAATATTTTAATTTTTGTTAAATTATTGTGTGGTTATGCATTATTGACAAATTAAGAAACAAAAAATTATATTCTAAAATTAATTAGTAAACTAATTTTACATACTTTAAATAATATTCACTATATTATTTATTATATTGACAAAAAACACACTAAATTGTTCAATTACTACAAAACTCAGCATGCAGCTATGTCTCAAACAGATATGTAAATGATTAAAGTTATGGTCCAATTGCATGCCAGTGAATTTCATCATAGTGCCTTAAAATTGCTATCTTAGTATCTTATAAAAAGGCTTACAGAGGCTCACTATGATCATAATTTTAAGTGTAGTTGTTGTGTGAATCTCTTTGAATGTTAGCCATTCCAGTATGATACTGTCAAAGACATTACAGCTGGCAAAGTTTGAAAAAGACTGCATCATTAGGCTAAGGAAAGCAAGGTGTTTTATTTTGCCAAGTTATCTGACATCTGAACAGTTCTGAACTGATTGTGAAGACATGTTAGGAGCAATGGATACATCAGAAAACACATACACAGCAGGCAGGCTCTGAATACCCAACACAGACTACCAGAAGAGAAGATTATCTAATCATGAAACAAGCACAATTGATGTCTTTGTCCACTACAGATCATGTCTCTTTCCATACCATTAGCAGATGACTAGTAGAGATAAATTTGCATGCACTGTGATTGCTACATTCTGCCATTAGCACCCCAACATCATTGGCTTCATTGTAGAGGTGTCATGATAGAGAAGCATTAACTGTTACAAACTGGCAACATGTTGTCATTAGCAAATAATTCAGATTCTGTTTGGGAACAGATGACCACCATGTTAGGGTGTGGAAGACTACTGGTGAGTGCTTCAATTTTTCCCTTACTATTGAGCAGCACACTATCCCCACTGCTGGCATGCTGGTCTAGAGAACCATCTCAAAACAGTTGATCATACCTAGTAGTGGTACAAGAGATGTTGATAGCATAGTTCAGAAAATCCTACAATCTCATGTTGCTTTTCATGGTAGGGCTGCAAACAATCACTTTCCAGCAAGATAATGCTTGGTTCACCCAGCTAGGTTTACCAGGAATGTGTGTCTATCATGTCGCCACACTTCCTTAATCTGCTGATCATTAGGTTGCCACCCATTGAGCATTTGTGAAATTAGATAGAATGCCAGTTTTGGACATCATACAGGTATGAAGGATCTGGAATCACAATTGCAACATCTGTGGGCAATATGTGATAGGATAGCATACAGTGCTTACATGCCTCCAAGCCAACTGTATCACTGCACATATCTATACAAGATGAAATTCTGCAAGGTACTAAAGATTCCTTTAAATTATACCATTCTAGAACAGAAAATTATCCTTTTTCTATTACATTGTCATATCTCTTATTATCATTGTCATTACATTTACACTAATAAAGTTTCATTCAATTCCAACACTCCTTGGTGCATAGTCTTTTTATGTCAATGAGTCTATATGAAATACTAATTGCATATATTCCAGATCCTTCATACAGATTGCAGTTATTATATAGAATAAAAGAGNATTAATCAAAATATAATAAATACAGTTGAAGAGGGACAGGAAACCTGTCTAAAATGCATACCAATGCCTAATAAACCTATATCTTTAATTCCTGTATAATTTTTCCAATTACGTCAACATTCTGTGATAAGTCCACCATAGTAGCCAAAAATTAGTGCTCATTGTCGTATATTGTAACATAAGGATCAAAAGCAATTCAAGTACAGATAACCCATATGAGAGTACAGTACTGACTTAGTAATAAGCAATGGATATGGAGCAATATCATTGTTTTTATTAACAAATAGTAGAAAAGATGAAATATATAGCATATATATATATATATATATATATATGCTTTTATACAATAAATTATATGCTGTTTAGGTGGATATTTGACTTTTAAATTAATCTTTTGTATATTAATAAGTTATTTAATGTATTTATTCTAATTAATGTATTTCATAATTAAAATTATGAAATATCATATTTATCTAATTTAAGACACACCTTACTTTCTATATATTCATACAGTAATACCCTGAACTTACGTGATAGGTGGGACTGAGCGATAACCGCGTAAGTTGAATTTGTGTAACTCAGGGTATAATTTCTCAATTTGTGTAAAATCCAAGTCGGATGTACTGTATGTAAGCTAATAAATGTTCTCGTTAATCTTATCTCATCTTTTGATTCGTTCATGGTTACAAGAAATCACCACTTAGAGTCTCTCAAGTCTCCGTAGATATAACAAACACAGAAATAAATAACACAAAATAAATTGTAGCTATGTGTCGATTCCGCGCGACACGTCCTAACACGTAAGCTGAACAATAGTGTGGGGGAGTGAGTAATCTAGAGTTGCGTGGCACTCAAACAAAAGACGAATCGACGAGATTTGAAAATCGCGTAAGTCGAGGTATTACTGTATTTTTTTTTTTTTTCAAATATAAATGTTTAAAATTTCTGTTATAAATAGAAACTATCAGCATCTGAAACAGATTGATAGAATTATTGCTAAATAAACAGAAGTTACAATTGATTTTTTAAAATTTAGAATTAGAAGATAAAAATAGAGTTAAATTCAATACACGTCAAACACAAAAGAACAACTTCAATTTCTGTAAATTTGGTAATAATTGAAAGTTTGTGTCAAATAACATTGCAAATGTTAAAGTAACATTTCCAGAAAAATGCAAAAAAACTGGAAAACTCCTAAATTTCACTGGAGCAGTGTTTTAACGGTTTAATATATTTTGGTTTAAAAGTGAGGTTCTGAATTTAAATTACATATTTCTCTTGTAACCAATGTTCTTATTACTTATTTATTACACAGTATTTTATAAGCTGCATTTGGGGCATTTAATAAAAAAAAGGTGTGCTAATGGAAAGATATTGCTTGTGACATAATAGCTCTTGCTAACTGAACACAAAAATACTGTTAATGAAAGCATAGATTGTCAAATGGAAAGTTATGCTTTATTTGGATTTAGTCAGTATTATTATTTTTCTCATCAGACTTTAGAGATCTATAAAAGTCTACATTTTCTGGATTAAGAAACTTGCACATAGACAGTAAGACCTTCTCGGTACTTTTCACTTGTGGCCTACTAGTATGCACATGGTTGATAGATATTCTGGAGGCCATTAAAGAGATTCAGAATTTCCTTATCTTATCAATAGCAATAAAGAAAATGCATCATTTTGGGAGCATCTTATTCTAATGGTCATCACACATAATCTGAACTCACATTACTATACTTAGTTAATTTTCAATACTTTGACCTCAAGAAAAAATTTCTAAAATACTGAGGTCTTTTATATCATTTTCCACTCACCTTACTTGGGGGTTTTACAGCTGGTTTAATTTGTCCAATGCATGACAAATATTCATTTCTTGATTCCTCTGCATTTTCAATTTCTTATGATTCCAATTTGCAAGTTGATGTTACCTCCTCTTTCTTAAATTTTGCATTTGCAGCTCCAAAGACATGAGTGAACCAGGGACATGCTAGCACATTATGCAATGCACACAGATACCAATATAGTAAAGGCACCAAAAATTTCAGGTGAGGAGGAAATACTTAAAAAAAATATTCATTAATTATTTTATTTTCTTTTCATTTTATTTTAACTCTTTCCACCCTGTGGGCACTAAGAGAGCCTCTTTTAAAAAACCCATTATGGGTTCAGCTAGGCCCATAATTGGGCAGCTGGGTGGTGAAGGATGGGACCTGATATATCCGGATAGATCACCCCCAAAAAATTCCTGGTGACTTTTCGACCCGTTCGGATTCAATCCCTGATCCCCCAGAGCAGTAGGCATCCAGCTGTCTATTCATTAATTATATCAAAATAAATTATGTTTTTATAAAGTGATTTTTTTTCACTGTTGGAGGGGTATAGGAGTGCCAACTAAAGTATTGCACACAGGTGCCAGACACTATTAGTGCACCTCTGGAGTAAACGCCTGCTTTTCTGCCATTTTATATGCACATGCAATATTTTTCTATGCCGTTGATAAGTCAGAAGCATTCTTTATGGTAACCAGTCAGATTTTTTTAATAGTAAAGATACTGTTAACTGTGTCATTTCACTGTACACAATTTATTATAAAAATCTTAATTTGGGTATTTTGGAGCTTGCAATGTTTTTTGACATAAGCCTTCAATTATTTCAATTTGTTTCTGATGATAATAATTTGTATTTAACAAAAGTACTTGAAATCTTATTTTAATTTTTATTAGTGTGTATTTTTACTATTTAAACTGGAAGATAGTTTATTTATAATACTGGATGTCCCATAAGTCAGGAACCATAGAAATTACGTTGATCTTTGTTTATTCTTTTACAGGTAAAGCATGGTGCTGATTAAGAAAGAATGAATTAAAGTTATTTTGATGACAAGATCTGCAATCAGCAAGAAATTGTCAAAAACTAACAGATTGCATCCAGACCACTGCTTATTACTCTTTAACAACTTCAATCTGACTGCAGTTCTCCACCATCAAAATAACTTGAATTCATTCTTCCTTACTAAGTAGGATGTTTTACCTGTAAAAGAATAAACAAAGATCAACATAATTCATATAGTTTCAGACTTATGGGATATACTATGTATTTTAATTCTATAGTTAAAATATTTTTTAAGTTATTTCATAATGGAAAGTATTAATATAATATAAACTGTTTGATTTATTTATTTTTTTTAATATAAAGTATTAATTTCGTTAATAAATTGCATTAAAAAGCTGTAAATAAATCTTTTGCGTTATTTCTTTTCAGTCGAACTTTGATGATTGCTTGTGTGTCACCGTCAGATCGTGATTTTATGGAAACTTTAAATACTTTAAAATATGCCAATCGTGCCAAGAATATTAAAAATAGAGTCATGATTAATCAGGATAAAACAAGTCAAACAATTGGAGCTTTAAGAAGAGAAATACAAATGTTACAATTAGAATTAATGGAGTATAAACAAGTGAGTTAATAATTAGCTAAATGAGAATATATAAAAATTATTTTGGGCTGAATTATTTTTTAATAAAAATAGTTGATTTTGAAAAACAAAAAACAAATGCAAGTACACATGTACGTCTTATTGTTTGTGTATATATCAAATTTAATAGAATAAAGTATCAGTTTTGATACTTTATTCTATTAAATTGTTTTATTTATTTATTTAAGCATACTCGTTTCATCCATAATGCGGAGAATACAAACATACAAATAATCATTACAAAAGACAGTAAAAAAAAATCACAATAATATTGTAATTAATGAATTATTACAGAAAAAACAGAATATACACATAAATATAATACAAATTTTACAAAACTGACAAGTAATAATATTTTAAACAAAATATTGACATAATCAAAATTGTAGGGAGAACTATCCAAAAAAAATAAGAAACAAATTGTATTAAAAAATAACTATATCCACCTAAAAACAGAAGAAAAATTAATTATCACATTGAAACAGCAGATAGTCTCCCAATATTTCTTAAGCTTGAACACACATTTAAAGGAAAAAATAATACCACCTCTGCGCAAAATCAAATGATCCAAAATGCAAAACAAATCAAAATATGCGCCAATCTACTCGAATGACAACTGAAACAAATAAATCAACATAAAATTATCTAAAAAATAGTTTAACCTTCTGGATAAAAAAATTAAATCAAAATTTTGTAAATTATCAATAAGGTTCAAAAATTTTTCAAACGAAATAGTAGAAACACCAAAAATACTTTCATGTAATTTAAAAAAATTAATACACCTAGCTCTCACATGATATGCATCCAAAGACTGATCACCTTGGCAATGTATGCAAATATCTCTGCAATAATTCTGCAAAAAATTAAGAGAATTACATCTAACTTGCATTATCGTAGAGCTAATATTATAAGGGAGGTTATTATTATAAACAGAACAATCAAAAAATGTTTATTTAGATGCTTATACCAGGTATTATAAGAACTCAAATTAATATGCCAATTCAAGTCCGAAATAAAATTATCAAAATAGTTTAATTTCAGTAAATAACAACAATTATAATTATTTAATAATTTGTCGAAATTAATACCATTATTAACACAGTTATTTCTTAAACTTTTGGTCCACAAAAAGTTATCCTTATTTAAAATATAACATAAACACACTCTACTCCAACGTTTTTCATCCAAATCCATTGTTCTAAAAATCCAATTCAAACACTTATTTAAAACTACAAAGGAAAAAGGTAACAACAAACACTTCATAAAAATTAAATTTTAAAAATACCTGGCATTAATTAGTTAATCATTAAATATACAGTTATATGATTGTACAATCCTATTAATCATTCATTGCTAATTGGCTAACTTGACAATTGTCCCATCCTTAATTATTTTGTAATTGTTTAAAGATAAAAATAAACTAACAAATGCATTAAAATGTTTGGTTAAAGTTATTCTATTATAAAACCTTAACATTAATTTATTGATAATTTAACTTTCAATAACCAAACATTGTAATTAATACCATCACTACTATAAATGAGACAACTATAATACTAATGCTATGTTTTAAATGTATTAACGTTTTAAATATATTGATTATTTTATTAAGGGTAAACGAATAGTTGGAGAAGATGGAACAGAACAAATAAATGATATGTTTCATGAAAATACTATGCTACAAACAGAAAATAATAATCTACGAACAAGAATCAAAGCTCTCCAAGAAACAGTAGAACGCTTGACAATCAGAAATACACAACTACTTGCTGAGAAAGCATCTGGTTCATGGATAACATCAGGTAAAATTATTAAATTTTTCTTTTTATTAGTTGTTATTTATAACGTAGGGAAGGTATGGAAGTCAGTCAAAAAAATGAACCCCCAAGATTTTTATTTTTCTTACTCATGAGACCTTGAAATGTCAAGAAATGCAAAAAAAGCTGGGGTTTTTTGCATATATGATTGTAAGTGTGGGGCACAATTTTATTTATTCACTTCAAAGCTTAATGACTCCTGTGCCTTTTGTTGAAAATTTCTGAAATTTTGCAGGGAAGTTTGTGTATTAAGGGCTTTGATGCTATTAAGTTTTAGCAGTTAAATGTCAAGGGAATAGGAAAATAGAGGGTGTCTTGTGTCATATCTCCAATAGGTTTGGACTCAAAGATGATTTTACTTGTTATTAACATTACAGTTTTTTTATAAAACTTGTCACTAACCTCAAAATTAAGCTTTTTGTTATTTTATAATAATAATATAAAATGTTTTTTAATGACATCTCATAACAGATGGTGCCACACACAATTTTAACTTTTTTGATGGAAAAGTTAAGCAACTCATTGCTGGATTTTTAATTTAAGATAGGAAATTTTATGGTTTGCTTTTTATATATTTTTGTTGGCTGCATTTTTGTTGATTATATATTGATATTGCTTTTATAATTTCCCCTTTTTTTTTGGGTAAAACAGTTTTATATCTGTTTATTTTATCATAAACAGATATAAAACTTAAATAAAGTAAAATTCATTAGTATATTTGTTTGTGTTGACATTTTTGTTTAAGAATATTTGTTGTATTCTTTCAATATTTTATTTTTAATTTTGTATTAAATGTTTGCAATATTTTTTTATAGGAGCATTAATAATTGTTTTAAAGTCAGTTGACAACCATTTTTACTTTTTCTGACATTGCATGTCTTTTATCAAACTGTATATATGGATATACTTAATTTACTTATGTATGGACAAAACCAAAATTTAATAATTCTTAAAAATCTCACTTTTATCCAGTATAAAAAAAATTTTCTTTTTATAAGATATTATAATTATTTTATTGATTTATTTGAAAGAAATGCATTTTAATTTTTAATTCTGATCATAATGAAAGCTTTTTTTACTGTTGTTAAAAATAACAATAAATTTTTGTTAAAGTTAACTTATTGAATTTAAATATTTTTACAATAATTATTTTCTAGATGCAGAATCCAAATCTGATATTACAGAAATGATTCAGAACTATTTAAAAGAAATTGAAGAATTAAGGTAATTGAAACTTTATTATTATTATTTATTGAAAGTTTTAATATTTTCTTCTTATTTACTTTTTAACAAATTAGTGGTGTAATTAAAATTAAATAAATATAAAGATATTTAAAACTGCTTTTTATAATTTTATATATGCATTAATTATTAAAAATTTGTAAATTATATTATACAGTAGAGCGTCGTTTATCCGAAAGTCGGTTATCCGAAAGAATTCCAGTCGGCAAATTTAAATTTTCGCTAGTGCTGTGGCGCTGCAATCTTTGGCTATATCTTGGGCTACTCCAATATTTTTTTTGTTGGTGTGTGTGTTTTAGCTGGCAGCACTGGCACTTTTGTGTGGTGTTTTTCTGAGGACTGTGTGTCGTGCTGAATCGAACGTTTTTGATACTAGATTAACTTCTAAAGTATAATTTTTTTTGTTTTTATATTTTTCAATATATTTATTTTGTTTGTAAAAAATAAAGAAATAATTTTTAACGATACAATAGCCACGATTATTATTTTAAAAAGTTTACATTGGGCTTAACATCGACGAAAATTCAATGCGAAGCGACTCACAACGGAGAAAAATTTCAACATGGGATAGGTTAATGTATTTTTTCGTACATAATTGGTTATCCGAAAAATAAGTTATCCGAACAACCCCAGTCCCCAATTGATTTGGATAAATGACGCTCTACTGTAATATTATATATTATAAGAACATTTTCTTATCTATTTGTTTTTATTGGTCATTAAAAGAGAAGAAAAAACAATTAAAATTTTTTATTTCAACATCATAACATCATCATCATCATCATCATTATTAAAATCTACCTATTTTATTTTATTTTTACCATTGATCTGTTTAATAACATCCATTATTATTCTGTTATAGAGAAGAAAAAACAATTAAAATTTTTTATTTCAACATCATAACATCATCATCATCATCATCATCATTATTATTAAAATCTACCTATTTTATTTTATTTTTACCATTGATCTGTTTAATAACATCCATTATTATTCTGTTATAGATGATCATAATGTAACAATAATTTTATATATCAGGTGATTGTAATTAAACTATCCCATTTCAGTGCTGTCTTATGAGACCTTTAGTGAGTCTAAATACAACCAAATTTGGTATGGTAACATTTCAGGATATGCAGAAGACATTTTCATTTTAGAAAGTTAGTACTAAAACTAAGATACTTTTGGAACCATAAGCAACAAACATTTTATATCAAACACTCATGCTAAACATAGACCTTAGTGATGCAAGGGGTACTGCTCAATATGGTCCCAGTCTAAAGATTTAAAATCCAAACACAATGAACAATGAGTTCAATAGCCAATTACAATTGATTCTCTGTGATTTTCTCAGATGCAGTGTAATACTATTTTTTAAGGCTATCAAATTTTTTCTCAATAAACCAACTTTCTTATACATCCTTACATTCAAAAACTACACAGATTATGATCCAAAACATCAAAAGTATTGTACTACTATGACATGTTTGATGTTTAGATTTGATCATTTTAGTATTAACACGTGTCTCAATCTTGTCAAAATAAATGCCAATTTTTTTATCTTTGTAGCAATTAATTTTAATTATTATTAATATTAATTATTTCATGTTTATGAAATTTGTTAATAAACAAACAATAACCATTTCATTAAAGAATGTTGTTACAGTTCATATTTGCTGGCAGAAAGAATGAATCTTTCAAGAAGAAAAATAAATGTATAAATTCTTTTGTATCAATTTCGTTTTGAACACTTTTCATATAAGAACACATAGTTAGTTAACAATTATTTTTATTTACTCCGGGATACAACTGACTGGTGTGACGACAACACAAAGAAAAGTAAGTTTGAATTCTGCCTTGATGGCCTCTTGTGGGCACTTGCAACAAAGAAGGTTACAACAAATTCATTCAAAGAAAATAAAAACAAACAAAAACATTTGTTGAATTCGAATTTGGTTTCTATTTGAAGACATGTTATTTATTGCGATATAATTGTTGTTTACTAACAGATTAGCAAATAGTTTTATTATTTAAAATACCGTAATAACAATCATAAATTTGCTGACATAAACATACTAAAAAGATTTTAATAATTTCAATCTTCCTTTATAGCTTTCCTAACTGTAAATATCCTATCATAAAACAAAAGAGGTCTTGTTTTCTGACATCTATAAAGCAGAACTTACATTATGCATTCATTCACACATTGAACATATATTCTTTATCCTTATTTATAATGCAAATCATTCTTCAGTTATTCCAAACAAGAACAATTATTGAAATGAATAAAAACCAAACAGGAATGGTTGATATATTTAAAATTTTCTAATTTATAAAATTATTGAAAAATAGGAATAGATTATCTTCTACTTTAAATTTATATTTTAAAACGAATATGTAACTAAATAGCATTTTAATTTTTATTTGAAAACAGTTTCGCGAATTCATAATGTTTACAATTTTATTGCTCTAAAATAAGGCAAATTTAATAAATTCTTTGTAAAATTAATAATTTTTTAAAATGATTATTAACTTTTTATTTGAAATGTTAAAAAAAATTAATGTATAATTTAAAACATGATGCAATTTTATTTTATTTTTTTGCAATTTGTTTGTTATTTATCAGTAATAACATACTTATTAATTTTATATTTATTTTTCTAATAAATAATAGCATACATATTTCAACATAAACAGAATATTTATATATAAAGTATATTTCTAAATAAAGTAACATATATTTTAGAGCTCGCCTTATGGAATCTGAAGAAGTGTGTGCGCAATTGAGAAAACAAGTACAAAGGTCATATTCTAGACTATCGTTAAGTCCATCTTCTACAGCAGTAGCAGTAACTGGCCATTATGATATTAGAATGGATACAGAATCTCCTTCAGTATACGAATTAATTGAAGAAGCAAAACGAGATGTTAGAAAAATGAAAAAGAAAACTAAAACGTTAAAAGAAAATATGTAATTATTAATGTTTTTAATATACATAAACATATAGTAATATTGAAATATTATGAAAAATCTATGTATACATATAGATTTTTCAAAAATAACACATATTATGTTACATGATCAAAATCATAAAATTATATGTCTGTTTATTATTAATCTTGATGTCCATTGATAATGTTTGTCACTAAAGTCTAGGTGCTCTTCAATATGTAGATTCATAATCACTAAGTTATTTACTTTGTTTATATTGAATATCTTCTTTATTTTCTACTGAGCAGTTTCAAATGATCAAATGATAAAAAGTCATCATTTCATATCAACTGATTAACAACAACATTTTATCAATTGATATCAACTTATGTCATTTAACCTTATGAAATGTTATACAAGTAAGTTAGTATTAATTGATAGTGTTGTTATTTATGAAACAATTTCTTTGATCAGTTTCATATGACTAACTGATATCAAATATTGTCAATTGACAAAACAATTTTAAGTGATCAATTGATGTTAAATGATACAATAAAAACTACTTTGTAAATTGATTTGATATATTTGAAATAATATAAACTTAAATAATACACTATAAAGAGTATTTGGAAAATAACATATCATAGGAGCTCTGTCTGATGAAGTAAGAAGCACTGATGATATCAGTGTGGATAGCATTCTTAATGTTCTCAGGTGCTTCTATGACAACATTAACTTGATATGTGATGACATGTAATGTACTGTACTTCCTGTCCAGGGGAGGCCCTAGCAAGGTTTTCAGGTGGTGCGAGATCTCATTGTGGTGCCCCCGTGGAGATTAAACTATACATAGAGACTAAAGTAACATACATTTTTTACATTATTAATAACTCAGACCTCTGAAAGATTAGCATAGTATGGATGAGAAACAATAAGAGTAAAAAGAAACAATATTTGTTTGAAAAGGTTAAGTCTACAATATTAAGTGTGAATTTCATGCTATATGTGTATAACTTTGAAATGCACGATCTAGCTCACTGTTGTATAGAATTTATTTTGGCAGGTAGGGTTAAGTAGTAATAAGGTGATTGGGTTTTATTTTTTGTGCAAACAATCTATTGTTGCATTTTCTGCGCCCCCCATGACGGTGCCTGGTGCAGTTGCACCGTTCGCACTGCCCTAGGGCCACCCCTGTTCCTGTCTGCAATAGATTTGCAGTTTATGTTTGCAAAGTGCTTAAACAAAAATTGCCAATGTAATTTCTGATGTCAGTTTTTAATGATTAGTAATACAGATGTATTGCACATTGCAAACATCCATTTTTACAGTAATTATGCAAATTACATAAACCAACATCTACAAACATGATGTACTGTACATATGCAATATGTCAACAACTACTGGATTATATTGGGCTACTATATTGCGATTATTTTAAATTAATTACCAAATTATTTGTCACTAGAGGGAGGCATTAGGTGCCATCTCTTATTATATTTAAAACAATTTAATTAAATAATTTAGAAAATTCTGGAAGAAAAGCTGCATTGCATTTACATATAAAACTGGCTGTGCATGCATTCAGCATCCGCAGCCAATGCTTTATGTAACCAACAATGGTTATCTCATGTTTAAATATATCTGGAAGAGGAGATTGGACTGGAGGATCAGGTAGCATAACTGGCAATGCATCCACGGTAAGCGGAATTGCAGGTTTCAGTCCCACTCCAGACCAATTTTTTTCTTTCAAAATTTTCTAAATGTCAAAAAAAATTAATGTATAATTTAAAACATGATGCAATTTTATTTTATTTTTTTGCAATTTGTTTGTTATTTATCAGTAATAACATACTTATTAATTTTATATTTATTTTTCTAATAAATAATAGCATACATATTTCAACATAAACAGAATATTTATATATAAAGTATATTTCTAAATAAAGTAACATTTATTTTAGAGCTCGCCTTATGGAATCTGAAGAAGTGTGTGCGCAATTGAGAAAACAAGTACAAAGGTCATATTCTAGACTATCGTTAAGTCCATCTTCTACAGCAGTAGCAGTAACTGGCCATTATGATATTAGAATGGATACAGAATCTCCTTCAGTATACGAATTAATTGAAGAAGCAAAACGAGATGTTAGAAAAATGAAAAAGAAAACTAAAACGTTAAAAGAAAATATGTAATTATTAATGTTTTTAATATACATAAACATATAGTAATATTGAAATATTATGAAAAATCTATGTATACATATAGATTTTTCAAAAATAACACATATTATGTTACATGATCAAAATCATAAAATTATATGTCTGTTTATTATTAATCTTGATGTCCATTGATAATGTTTGTCACTAAAATCTAGGTGCTCTCCAATATGTAGATTCATAATCACTAAGTTATTTACTTTGTTTATATTGAATATCTTCTTTATTTTCTACTGAGCAGTTTCAAATGATCAAATGATAAAAAGTCATCATTTCATATCAACTGATTAACAACAACATTTTATCAATTGATATCAACTTATGTCATTTAACCTTATGAAATGTTATACAAGTAAGTTAGTATTAATTGATAGTGTTGTTATTTATGAAACAATTTCTTTGATCAGTTTCATATGACTAACTGATATCAAATATTGTCAATTGACAAAACAATTTTAAGTGATCAATTGATGTTAAATGATACAATAAAAACTACTTTGTAAATTGATTTGATATATTTGAAATAATATAAACTTAAATAATACACTATAAAGAGTATTTGGAAAATAACATATCATAGGAGCTCTGTCTGATGAAGTAAGAAGCACTGATGATATCAGTGTGGATAGCATTCTTAATGTTCTCAGGTGCTTCTATGACAACATTAACCTGATGTGTGATGACATGTAATGTACTGTACTTCCTGTCCAGGGGAGGCCCTAGCAAGGTTTTCAGGTGGTGCGAGATCTCATTGTGGTGCCCCCGTGGAGATTAAACTATACATAGAGACTAAAGTAACATACATTTTTTACATTATTAATAACTCAGACCTCTGAAAGATTAGCATAGTATGGATGAGAAACAATAAGAGTAAAAAGAAACAATATTTGTTTGAAAAGGTTAAGTCTACAATATTAAGTGTGAATTTCATGCTATATGTGTATAACTTTGAAATGCACGATCTAGCTCACTGTTGTATAGAATTTATTTTGGCAGGTAGGGTTAAGTAGTAATAAGGTGATTGGGTTTTATTTTTTGTGCAAACAATCTATTGTTGCATTTTCTGCGCCCCCCATGACGGTGCCTGGTGCAGTTGCACCGTTCGCACTGCCCTAGGGCCACCCCTGTTCCTGTCTGCAATAGATTTGCAGTTTATGTTTGCAAAGTGCTTAAACAAAAATTGCCAATGTAATTTCTGATGTCAGTTTTTAATGATTAGTAATACAGATGTATTGCACATTGCAAACATCCATTTTTACAGTAATTATGCAAATTACATAAACCAACATCTACAAACATGATGTACTGTACATATGCAATATGTCAACAACTACTGGATTATATTGGGCTACTATATTGCGATTATTTTAAATTAATTACCAAATTATTTGTCACTAGAGGGAGGCATTAGGTGCCATCTCTTATTATATTTAAAACAATTTAATTAAATAATTTAGAAAATTCTGGAAGAAAAGCTGCATTGCATTTACATATAAAACTGGCTGTGCATGCATTCAGCATCCGCAGCCAATGCTTTATGTAACCAACAATGGTTATCTCATGTTTAAATATATCTGGAAGAGGAGATTGGACTGGAGGATCAGGTAGCATAACTGGCAATGCATCCACGGTAAGCGGAATTGCAGGTTTCAGTCCCACTCCAGACCAATTTTTTTCTTTCAAAATTTTCTAAATATTTAATTTAATTATAATTATTAAATGTAATAAGAGATGGTGCCTAATGCTTCCCTCTAGTGACAAATTATTTAGTAATTAATTTAAAATAATCACAATATAAATTGTGCAAATTACTGTGTCTGCAGCAGTAGTATTTTGTTACTACAGGCAGGTATTTAAAGTTGGTTTAGAAAAGTGTAAATAGTGTATGACAGCATAAGATGATGTATGACGGCAAAGAAAAGAGAGATAATCTGGAGGAGCGATACCGTCCCAACAAATTAACGGTGTATCAGCAATCTCTTTTGTGTTCCTTTTCTGCTTTGTGCAGATCTGTCTCATATTTTTGCCATATTTTTTCTGTAGGGTGTTTGATTTGCTGGGATGGTATCTCTCATCCAGATTTTCTCATCAATACATTAAAACTGGGTCAAATGAGAAAAGAGATGTTACAACTTTACCTTCAGGGCTGCAGTACAAAGGATGTTGCAGTGATATTCCATGCATTGCATCACAATCAGCACTGTCCTCAACATACTACAATCTTAAGAATAGTATCTAAATTTTGACACATGAATGACTTGGATGATGCACCAAAAGTTAGAAGGCCCAGGAGTTGTACAAAAGATAATGCATCTACAGATATCAAAGCTACATTCTCGGTAAATCCAACTACTTCCATTCACTATGTGGCTCTGAAGGCAGGTATTGGGTCAACCTTTGAATACAATTTTCAAGAGGTTCTGTTATCATCTGTACAAGTCCTAATGTCATTAAGAGCTTCTTCTTGAGACTACAATGCAAACTTTGCAGAAATGTTTATGGATCTTGGGAGTGGTGCACCCAGAGAGAAAGCCATGGGGCATCTCTCAAAGTAAAAGGAAAACAACACTAGTAAATTTTTCAAAAATTCTTTCTTAATTAAAATTCATTTTTTAATTTTTCCTCTTTATATATCCAACTAATTTATAAATTTTATTTAAAATATTCTCTTAATTTTATTGACATTATTATTATTATGACTTTATTACATACAATAATTCTAGATAAGCATATACAGTATAAGTTTAATAAACAAGCATAATAAGTATATTAAACAACCCAAAGCCTGATATTTATATATAGATATATAGCCAAATGATCACTTGAAATACTTGGGCTATAAATCTGCTAATTTTAATAATTAATACTAAGTAATTTGCTACTAAAGGTAGATGTTAGGTGCCATCTCTTTCTAAATTAATAATTATAATTTTAAATAATTTATTAAATAATTTAGAATTATCTGAAAGAAAAGAACTGGCCCGAGGCAGGGTTTGAATCTGCAATCTCCACTTGTCATGCTGAGCATTTGCCAGTTGCCCTACCCGGACCCTGAGTAAGCCTTCACTTCCAGATGTATTTAAATTTAGATATAACCTTACAAAGCGATGGCTTGTTCAAGGTTCGGGTTGCGCAACTGGCAAGAGCACCACGCAGCAAGTAGAGGTTGTAGATTCAAGCCCTGCCTCAGGTCAGTTCTTTTCTTTCAGATGATTCTAAATTATTTAAAATTATAATTATTAATTTAGAAAGAGATGGTACCTAACATCTACATTTACTAGCAAATTACTTAGTATTAATTATTAAAATTAGCAGATTTATAGCCCAAGTATTTCAAGCGATTGTTTGGCTTTGTAACAAGCATAGTTCAGAGTCACATATAATTACTTGGTCCACATAAAATTATCCATAATTTTGCTAGTTTATAACATCACATATTTAATATTTTTATTGCTTGTTTTATTATAATAATTATTAGTGTAACTATTGTTATTAATATTAATTAATTCATATTTTTATAGCTTTATATTCAGAAATATAATGTTGGTCATCTAATTCAATATAAAATTAAATATTAAAGACATTAAAATACAGTTTTAGATTTTTTTAGAAATTTCTCTTAATTCTATATATAATTTATTTAAATGCATAAATTTAATTCATCTAACACACAAGACTTTAAACACCTTTTCTTGCAGATAATAGTATAATAGATTTATAACTAGTAACTATATAGTCTTAAATTTGATGATTTTATATTGACGATAAGATAAATGTAATTTTTATTTATTTATGTTTTTTAACTATTAAAGTATTTTATTAATTTTAGTGATAAAGAAGGAAAAGAACAAGAACATGAAGAAGATAATAAACAAGATGATGCATCACAAAAAACTGAAGATGATGCAATGGAAACTTCAATCACTGAGGTAAGGTTACGTTTTAATAATTTTATATAATCTTACGAAAAAGAAAAATTTAGATAGTAGGAATAATTCTAGAATTAAATTTACATATATATAAAATAAACTGAATAGAAATATTTATAATTAGGTTAATTGGCATATATTATTAAATTTATCTTTTCAAATTATTCCTGAATTCAATTAAATGGTAATAATTTTAGATTTATAATATCATAAGTTACAAATAAAATTTTAATTATATGCTGTTTTTATACAGTATGCTGTTTTCTGCATACTTTATTATATCAAATTTATTATTATTTTCTGCTGAATTCTTTTAGATTAGAAAAATAGTTTTGTCATTAAATTTATCAGTGTGATCAAAATATTTTGATATGTTACCATTTATTAAGAACTTTAAAATTTAACTTTAAACAACCCTTTATTTAATAAATGTTAGAGAATTCTAGAAAAGATAACAGGATTCAAATTTGAAGTTAAATTTCTTGCACATCAAATCTATTAAAACATATTAGCATAGTTAATTTACAGCAGGGGTGTCCAACCTTTTTGTTCTTCTGGGCCACATTGGAAGAAGTCATGGAGTTTTGGGCCACAAGTATATATAATATATTTGTGACCCATTCCTTAAATATACAAGTATATTTAAGGATTAACATGTCTAGATTATAGTAATAAGTATTAAAATTTTATCATGAACAAGGATATTTTAAAAAATTACTTCTACAGAATCTTTCAATTTTTATTTATAAACTAGCTTACCTGTCGCGCATTGCTGCGATCTCAGAAGAAAGCAAATTTAAGCAAACTCGTTATGATAAAATTTAATTTACATTTTATCATTTTTATTGAAACTTATTATTATTATTCATTTTCATCGGTAAAACATTTCAAAGTATCGTTTCAATTCTATTTATTTATTGGAGCGCTTGTGGATACACGATATTTTTTGTTTTTCCGTCTGGTGCGTAAACGAATAAATCAGGTTTTCCGACACGTGAGCCGGACACATACAGTGTCCATTCAAGAAGCACGGATTCTCCAAATTTAGCACATACACTCGCAGCGATTGTCAGAAGCGCGATATTCCCCATTTATATATATATTTTAATCCTTTATAATTTTAATTATTTAATTGCTCCTTCCTCTCTTCCTTGGCATGTTGTGAAATTTCTGATAGTTGGGTAATAAACCGTTTTATTGTAATTTGTCTTTTTAAATTATTTTGAGTCGATATTAAAATTTG